ATTAACACAAGACCTTAACACCCAGTCCTGTGATTTTGTTCTATTTGAAGAGATAATATCCTTCTAATCTCATTTATTCTAACATTAACACTGAACCTTAGCATCCAGTCTTTTGACACTGTTAGACTTCTAGTTGAGGAGATGATATCCTTCGAATCTCATTTACACTTACATTAACACAAGACCTTAACACCCAGTCCTGTGATTTTGTTCTATTTGAAGAGATAATATCCTTCTAATCTCATTTTCTAACATTAACACTGAACCTTAGCATCCAGTCTTTTGACACTGTTAGACTTCTAGTTGAGGAGATGATATCCTTCGAATCTCATTTACACTTACATTAACACAAGACCTTAACACCCAGTCCTGTGATTTTGTTCTATTTGAAGAGATAATATCCTTCTAATCTCATTTATTCTAACATTAACACTGAACCTTAGCATCCAGTCTTTTGACACTGTTAGACTTCTAGTTGAGGAGATGATATCCTTTGAATCTCATTTACACTTACATTAACACAAGACCTTAACACCCAGTCGTGTGATCCTGTTCGAAAGCGTGATTGACTTCAATAGACAACCATATACAATCTACATATGTGAATGATGAATGTATTCTTAAAAGCAAAAAAATTAAGACAAGAGTGGGGAAAAATATTTAGAATAATAAAAATATCTAATTTAAAATCTTTAGTCAATGTGACAAAACCCAAAAATATATTCATAAAATTACTGAGCAGAAAACAACAAAAAAGTTAATTGTCCTCAAAATAGTTTGAAATAAAGAAAACTTGGTGGAAACCTGTGAAAATTCAGCACCATCTTTATTTATTCACTTTAATATAAGAAGGCACAAATGAAAGTTTTATGAAGTAGAGTAATCTCTTGAATAGATGCTGTCAGGTTGACAGATAGTGGCTCAATTGGCATTTGCTGTGACATACTGCTTTTATAGCAATATCTCATTTATGTACAATACTCCACCTCCTTGAACCGAAATGGTCTTATGTCCTGTGTTGATCTTTGATTTCTAATTATTCTTGGGAACTCTTTTTGTTGGTATCTTGATTTCTTCTTATAGAAGAACCTAAGTCTGAGTTCATTTTCCTCTTCCGACTCCTTGTCAGATTTCTGGTCATTACCTTCCATAGATTGTTCAGTTTCACAACTGGATTCATTAGTCTCCTCATTCTCTTCATGTTCTTCATCTTCAGATTCTTTATACATTTCTATATCCTCGGGTTCCATTCTGCTTCTGAACTAATCTGTAGAGGCCAGTACATTTTGTCCATTTTTCATTAGTATTGCTATGTTGTGCCCTTACTGTACTACAAAGTTCATATTCTCTGGATTAGATTCTTTGTCTTTTTTATACCATACACTTTCACTTGTTGAAAATGATATCATTATGGGAGCTCTAATCTGTCAACCCATTAATGCAGAGGGATTTTTGTAATTTGCCAGCATGTGCAATTGACCTATAGCTTAACAGTAATCTTGGTAAATAACTCTTTATATTATCATTAAATGGGGAAAATCCTTTTAGTCCCATTTTCATAGTCTGCACCATCCTTTCTGTGATTCCATTTGATTGTGGGTGCTAAGGTGGTGTTTTATATAGGTCATATCTAATACACTTTATCCATGAGCACAAACTTTACTCACAAAATTCTGGCACGTTATCTGAGACCAAAGTTTTAGGCATCCCATTCATTGAAAACATTATTCATAATATTTGTTTTACAGTGTTAGCTTATCTGATAGCAACCGTAATTACTTCAGGTCATCCTGAAAATGAGCCCACTAGAATTAAAAATAACCCCATGCCTTTAATATGGGGATGATCCATATGTACCCAAGCCCACAGTCCTTTTTCTTTAGGCCACAAGTGAATTATATTTTGTGGAAAGTTTTTTTTTATTTTAGCACATTTTGGGCATCTTTTTACATAGCTTTCTACATCTTGAGAATATCTTGGCCACCACGCTTGTAATTTTAATCTCATTTGTGTAATTGTTATACCACAATGTACATCATCATGTACACCTTTTAGTACTTCATTTCTTAAACTTTGTGGGGGTATTATAATATCCCCTTTGCATATTATGCCTTTCTCTACAGTTAACTTATGCCTTGATTCTTTGTAAGATGTTTCTGCCATTGAATAATTGCTCCATGTGTTTCTTTTTATTCTGTCTGAAATTCTACTTAACACTGAATCTTGTATGGTTTCCATTCTGAGATGATCTAGGGGTAACATGTCTATTTCAACCCAATGCAGTATTTTTATCTTCTGATTTTTCAGATGTTTCTAATTTTTTACTGTCAAAATTTAGTCTGAATAGTGCATCCATATGTGAAATAGTGTTCCTCTTTACGTATATGATGTTGAAATCAAAGGCCATGAGTTTCATAGCCCATCTTAAAATTCTCTCTATGACTTTTGGTAATTCCTTTTTACTGTAAGCCTATATCTCTCTTGATATATGATTATATTTTTTACCCACTCCAATAGAACTTTTTCAATTGCCTTTTGAAAAATATAGCTTGAAGTCTTAAATCCTAATGGAAGATGAGTCCATCTTAGTAAGCCTATCGAAGTATTAAGTGTAGTGACTTTTTAAAATTTTCTGTCAATTTCTATTTGGTTATATGCTGATTTCAGGTCAGTATAGCAAAGTATTTAATTCCTGCTAATTCATGACTTGCCATTTCTATGTTAGATAAGGTGAATTAATCAGAGCATATCTCATGATTCACACCTACTTTTTAATCCCCACATATCCTCAAATCACCATTGGGCTTTTGTATCACAACAATTGGTGAAGCACAACTGCTACTAACTTGGGTAACTTTTTCCAATATGCTTTGTTCTACCATTTTCTTTAGTTTTGCAACTACCATGGGTAGAATGTGAATAGATATTTTTCAAGATTCAAAATAGATCAGGTGATTATTTTCTTTTAGATAAATAATCGCTTTATATCCTTTTAATAGTCCTATATCAGGTTTTTCTGATTTTATACAGTTTATTAATTTTACCATATCTACTTTTAAAATGTCTATTTCCAGGAGTCCATGATTTTTTGTGCATTCTACAACAGTGATAAGAATAATCTCAAAACATTTTTGTCCTGAAAGTTGCCTAGAGTTTTGATGACAGATCCATCAAATTGTTTTAAATTAAGATTACTTTTTCTTAATTCAGGTTTACCCATTTTTTCCCACAAATCCTTGGGATCAAGGTAACATTGCTCCCCATATTAACCTGTATGGGAAAAGCTATGCCATTCAATTTTACTGTCTCTCTAGTTTTTGCAGGTGTTCCTATCAAATAGACTTTTGTATTTTCTGTATGATTGTTTATAGATTCTACCCTTTCTATTCTCTTTTTCTATCTGCACACAGATTAGAAATGGTCTTTTCTTTTACAGTTTAAACATAATTTTCTTAGGGCTGGACATTTGATTTTGTTTCTTTCATGTTCTTTGTCACAATATTTGAACATAATTAGGATTTTAGTTGTATTGTATGCTTCTAATTTCATATCATTTGCTTGTAGCTGCTCTAGAATAATATGTTTGTATGTAACATGCCTTCAATTAGTCTTAGAAGGATCAATTCATTTTCTATATACATTTCTCTCAAACCCAGTTTTTCAAATTCGCAGTATCTTGATGCTTCTTTCAATCTGTGTAAATATTGCATTATAGTTTTATTTGGGTTCTATTTTCCAGAAATTTTGTTCTCTCTGCAATAACCAGCTCTTTTTTGGTCACCTGTTTCTTTTTATAATGGGTGAAATTTCCTCATATGTCTTCCAGTATTTTGAGGTATAGCATAATAGATATTTTCTCTATGGCTTCACATCCTGTTGAATAGTAAATAAATCAGCAATTTATTCTCCTCTCTGTGGATTTTCTTGTCTTTCAGTTTCTTTACCCAAGCCAATGCTGCAAAACATCTAATCCAAATTTCTACATGCTCCAGTTCATCCAACATGGTTAGGGATTCTATCAGCAATATCATATTATTATGAAATAAAGTAATCTCTGGAATAGATGTTCTCAGCTCAACAGATAATATCACGACTGGCATTTGTTGTCCTGTACTGCTTTTATAGCAGTATCTCATTTACATACAATACTACAAAAAGATTAAAACCCGACAAGGTTTTCCATTTTACAGAGTCAGACATTAAGTGCATGAAAGTGTTGTTGCCTCCTCTATCTTATCTTTCTTTAAAATCAAAACCATCTTCGATATATGTTTTTTCTTCAATCTTTCCTCACAATCAAAATGAAATGTTCCATTATTTATCCAAGATAATGGCAGAGCATTAAATAGTGATTTACTAACAGATCTTAAATGTGGCACAGAGCCACATGTATGGGGTACCCAGGGAGGATTGAAGTTACTAATTATAATTGATCTAGTGAGACAAAATAATTTTTAACCATCACACCATGTTGAAGTACCCTGCAGGACATGAAATAAGTAGATATTCACCACAAGACTTGTTTTTATATTTTTATTTCTAGCAGCACACACACACACACATATATATATATATATATATATATATATATATATACACGCACAGCTTCAATATAACACCAAGTGAAAGCTAGTGAGAAATATGCAAAAAGTTTAGGGATTTACTTTGTCTGTTGCTGCTATACCAAAAATTCATGGTCAGGGGACCAGTAAGCTATTACAAAGTGTAACAAATGCATGAACTTAACAGAATTATATGATATATCATCTTCAAACATCAGATAATGTAGTCAAAAATAAGATGGGTTCTTGTGAAAGGAAACAGGGTCAATGCTTTTTATTAAACTTATTCAAATATCACAATTCACAATCAGATGTAATTTTTTGTTTTATTTTCTGCACTCCTTATTGTTTAGAATCTAAATAAATTTAAGAAAACATCAAAAATTTCCCAGCATCCCAAAATATTTCTAGTTTTATATTTGGTGCTAAGTGTAATCCTCAAATCTCAATGGGTTTAGGATTTGGCTTCCGAATATGTCGCATGTTTGAACCAGTCTCAGTAGGCTTGAAAGGGGCATGTTTACCATAAGGCCTTGGAATTGGTAATTCTGTTTCATCATCTGGAATGTAAGCATTTGGTCTCTGCTCTGCAGTAGTGACTTCACCATTATCCAAAAGATTTTCTTCTTCTTTCACCTGAAATGAATCCAAAAGCATAAAAGTTGTACAATGCAAGATTTCAAATAATCAAAACAAACCTAATCTGTTAGACTGGCAACCACTTCAGTATAGCTATGAATTCATGGAAAAAAAAACGGAAGAACATAAACGTGTTCATTTATTCCAGGAGTATTCTATATTTGGGCAACAATCTTTCTTTCATACATGTTTTATACAATGTTATTGACCTGGCATGCCAGCTTCAGTCACTTTTCCACTACCATAATGTACCTTCCCTGTACCTTTTCTATAAATATTTTCATGATAATTTCTCTAATGAGCTTTCCTCTTTGGTACCTAGACTTTATGAATTTAAATGTACTACTATTGGGGGCAAGGTCTCCCCATTTTACTATCAGAATTGCTCTATGTGTTACAGAATACAAAGGCCAGGGTCAGAATGGTCAGCAATTGGCTGGAGTGACTTGTGGGTGGGGCATTCTGACAGTGATGGATTGCCTTTGTCTGGGTTTTGAATATAAGTTTAAAACAGCACAAATTCAACAGAGGGTTTCAAGAATTCTGAAGCAGCAATATGCCTCCCATATGCAGGTTTGCAACCGGCTAATACCACCCACAGAGCTAATGTGCAACATGCATTCCTGTCATGTCCATCCTCTTAGAATCCAATCTGCCAGGGTTAATAAAATGAATATCAAAAGTAAATGACCCTCTTCATTGATACTGTTTTTATTAATAGCATGGGGATGCCAAGACTACACAGAACGCAGCATATGCGAGTAGTTTCTCTTCTTCTCACACTTCTCACCTGTGGATCTCTCTTCTGGCTTTTATGCTTCACAGTCAACTTTGACCTCCAAAAATTGAAATGCAATGTCATTCATTATCTTTTGTCTTCTTAATTCCTGTTCTTTTATTGTTGTTTTTCTTTAATAATATTTTCTTTTTCTCAGTAACCACTTGCTCTACTTCTTTTCTTGGAGTGAAATGATTAAAAAAAAAAATGTAATGTCTTTTTTTTAATGTCTTACAATTATTTCATTTATTTATTTATTTTATATAAATAAATAAAAAAAATAAAATGAACAAAAATAAGCAAAATAAATTAATCCAGACAAATAAATAAATAAGCTAAGTAAATAACAAACGAATTAACAAACGATTGCAGACATTAACACAGTAAATGTAACAATAACAATCAACAATAAAAGAATCAATAATTAATTAAAAAAAGAGTTAACAAACAACACTATAAATAGTAAAAAAAACTAAATGCGAATCTACAATAGCTGCTAAAATAATTTAAAACATAACTGTTATCACTGACAAAAAGAAGCATTAGAATAATACAACAGACTACCCACAATGCATCATTGACCTGTATATATAAACAGTCAAGCAAAAACACAATGCATATGGCTTGATGATTGCATTTAGCATGAAACAGGCTGTCACTTCTAGGTGTTGGCTTCTATATATATATGTGACATCACGAGCTGTGATGCGATTTTTAGCTTCCGTGACTCATATACATGAGTTTGTCATTGCTTTGAAATTTTTCATGAAACAAAAACAGACTATCATTATTGTTTCATCTGTGCTTGATATATTGAAATGTAATTGTCATCTTTGATAATGGTTTATGTAAGCCGAAAGCTTAGATAGGATTTAAACATATATCAATATGGTGATTTCCTTTCATCTTTCAATGATAATGTTATTAAGCTTATCAGACAATATGAAAGGAACTTACTTAAAATAAATAGACAAAACTTGTATATATTATTTAATGAAACATGCATCAATATATACATATATATAAATATATATATATAAATACAAGCCTGTTTCACTATATCACAGCTCATCAGTGTGGCTATGTCACCAATTGCTTCAAGCCAGGATCAAAACTCAACTGATTTGGCATCAGATAGAGATCCTAACCCTAAACTATTGATGCGTGGCAAAGAAAAGAAAATTTTAACATATCATATAAAAGACGTATACAAACGCCAGTAGCCAAGGGGGCTGAATTCATAATAGCAACAGCAGCATTGTTTTAAAAATTCCCCTTTCCTAGAGTGCTCAATTGTGTAATGAGAGTGTAAATAGTCATCCACATACAAGCCTGAATCACTATATTACAGCTGACATTATATATATATATATATATATATATATATATATATATATATAATTTGGAGAAGTTTATCATTTAGCTGACTAGTGTTGATTCAGTTATGCCTACTACGTAGTTTCATGAGCATGTCAAGATAATGAGTTTACTCTTCAGGACTTGTTGTCTTCTCTGTTGCTGTTGTTATTTCTCAATTTTGCCATCTTTAAATGTTGTTTAGTATAATTTGATAACTTTTTATAAGTATATGGTTTTTCAGTTGATGTTGTTGTTATTGCTTAGGGGTATGAGGTTTTTATGGTGTTTGTTTTGTATTGTGGTAACCTCTTTTTTGTCCGTATTTTTACTTAAAACAAAAACAACCTGCCTGTCCAAAAAAAGAACCAGCAACTCTAGCACTTAACACCATACTATAAAATATATATATATATATATATATATATATATATATATATATATATATAGATGGGTAAATATAGGTAGATGTATCACTAAAACAATTGTATACAAATATATATATATATATATATATATATATATATGTAAGAAAAAAAACAGTGGTAAATGTTAAATAACAGACCTATTTAATGTATATTAAGAAATATACATAATACCTGATATGAACAGTTTATATTATATATATTTAATATATATTATATATATATATATATATATATATATATATATATATATATATATATATAGTCTATATATTGAACACAATCTTCCGGCCTTTATATATATAGAGTTCACTATATATTTAATATGGGTATCCCTAATATTGAGGATAGATATGAGGATTGACCAAAGAGATGGATAGGTTTAAAACTAGCTAGACACACAGACAGATAGATATGAATGGAAAACTGAACACTGATCATTCTGATAGATAAAGAACTAGACAGAATTTGTTTGTGGATGAGGGTCTCAGACTTTACACAGAGGCTGTCCTCATCAAGTGCCTTGAGATGGTAGCTATTGTCCTGGGTCAAGAGGTGGCTGCTGGAAGACTTTCAGGTCTTTTGAATGAATTCTGCATTCATGCCACACAAGAAGGAGAACCCATTCATAACTTTCAGACAATTCTTGTTTTGACTACATCACCTTTTACATGTTTGACCCCTAACTCCCAAAAACTGCCATCTCCTTAGATTGGATTATGTATTGGTTTTACAGTTGGTAAAATAGCAAGAGGTTCAATCCCAAAACTGAGTAGAACACCAAAGATGAACTGAATGCAAAGGAGATAAATGGCAACATTCTACAAACTTAAAAAAGAAACCATGGTTACAGAAGAGCTGGAAGGCAAAAGGCTCAAACATGGCAACAACAAAAAAGACAAGTTGAAATAATCCATATGATAGATATGAACAATTTTATTGAATAAATTTACTCATTTAGTATTTCAAGATATTTTTAGGGTAGATTTTGGTAAATATATCTGTTAAAATGAGAAGTCAGTGTTATTTTCATTTTGTGTAATTTAGATGACAATCTATTCACTGCATCCTGTAGATGTGAACAGAGTGAGATAGACAGATAGATTGTTGGAAGACTGTCTGTATCTATCAGCCTTTTATACACATACATTACCAATGATTCTGCTATAGATTTTGATTGAAAATAAAGAAGAAATGATGCCAGTGATTATTGCCACCAATACTGACAATAAATTGATTATATGTATCATATGCAATGTGTTGCTAAAAAAGTTTCTACAAATATGTGTCAACAATCATAAAGAAAGGGATTATAAGTGGTCAAGAATTAGTGAAAGTTAATGACAGACAAGCCTATTAAAATGTACAATATAAATGCATTGTAAACCAAATTTTAACTAATGCAAATAAATGTTCAAAAACTTAAACAAAGACAAGAAAGGATTGTTGATGGTCAGAAATTTTATTGAATAAATTACTGACAGATAAGGACTATTTTTAAAAATTTTTGGTAAATCCTCTGTTAAAATGAAAGCAGTAATGCCACTAAAACAATGCAAAGGGTTACAGGGTAGAAGAATTGTTGGAACTGAAACCTTAATTATGAGCAGAAATGATTCATAGATTTTGATTGAAAATAAAGAAGAAAGATGCCAGATTAGCCAAATACTGACAATAAATTTTATATTTTTGCAGATTAAAAAAGTTTCTACAAAAATGTGTCATGGATCTAGAAGAGAATTTCAGTTAGTGAAAAGTGTGACAGAAAAGAAAATGTTATAAATGCATTGAACTTTTACTACAAATCTAACCTTGAAACTGTGTATATCATTTTAATGTAAGTATTTCTATATATGGACTTGACTTTGTATATATTTGTATGTACTCTTGTATATATATTGAATTTGTATATATTTGTATGATGAGCAGAAAGACAAGTATATATCAGGTGGACTTTGTATATATTTGTATGTTAATTTTGTATATATGGAAAGCATGGACTTTGTATATATTTGTATGTACTCTTGTATATATAGCTTGACTGTGTATATATTTGTATGTACTCTTGTATATATGCTTGACTTTGTATATATTTGTATGTACTCTTGTACATATGCTTGACTGTGTATATATTTGTATGTACTCTTGTATATATGCTTGACTGTGTATATATTTGTATATACTCTTGTATATATGCTTGACTGTGTGCATACATAAGTGTATGTGTGTGTATATGTATATTCCTGTGGTTAAGGGTAGCATTGAAGATAGACCTTAGCAGGATTGAAAATGACCATGTTCCAAATCTTAAAATGTTCATTTTAACTCACCATTTGTTTCTCTTGCTGTTGCAATTTTTGTTGTTGCTCTCGTTGCATCAGCTTTAGCCATTCCTGTTCCATCTCTTCTGTTGGTGCCTCACCCCTCTCCATCCGAACATAACACTGTTCCAGCAATTGCTCCATTTCTTTCAATTGCCTCTGCGACATTATATTGGAAGCCTGTTTCATGGAAACCTCTGCAGTAAGGGCCATCATCTTTCGTGTGGTGTCCTTAATTTTATGCTGCAAATCATTAATCTGAATTGGAAGCAAAAAAATAGTAATTAAATCTTGTAATCAACTACCATTATTGAATATAAAATATGGATATGTGTACGTTTTGACTTCACTCTCTCTACATATATAACGTGTGTGTGTCTCTCTCTCTACATATCTACATGTGTGTGTGTGTGTGTATATATATATATATATATATATATATATATATATATATATATATATATATCTCACCATGGTTGATTTCTCAAGAAGGAAACTTCCTGATGTTATCAAACTCGATCAAGGTCAATACTAGTGTGCGGCACCTTTGGAAAGTGCCTGAAAACCATAACATGTGTTGACCCAAGCCTTGTGAGTGAAATTGGGTAGACAGAACTCTTGGGGGCCATCGATTGCTGTGCTAGCATGAAGCCACAAGTCATTGTGGCTGAGGGCTTGAGCATTCTGACCTTGTTCAAATTGTCGATCACGCTAGATAACATGCTCTCTCTCAAAAACTGTAACTATGGTCTGCTCAGCATAGTTGCAGTATAAACCACAGGTGGGCTGTGTGGGTGTTAAGCAATCACAAATGTGTCTGAGTGAGTGTCTGAAATAGGGATTGGATAGCCACCCTTGTAGACGGGTATCCTCAAATGCAAGTGGCCAGCTATTATTATATAAATATATATATATTTAGGCAGTGTATCTCATTCTAACATGTTTCATTGAATAGTATAAATATATTGTGTCTATTTTTATACTGCTCCTTTCCCGTTCTCTAATCTGTTTCTTAATGCTAAGATGAAATTCATCAAGGAAGGCCCCATAGATTTTTTTTAACCCAAGTACTTTCAACCTTTTCTAAGATCATATTCAGGGGTAAATTACAAAGGCAGATTCATTGTAAATCTGCATTCTATTGTGATGATGATTTTTAAAAAACATTTGTGAATGTGTTATTTTAAAAATTTTAATTTAACCGTTGTTGTTATGGAATGTTTTTGCAAAACAAGCATCCCAATATAAGGGAGCTGACTGGAAATTAGTAGAAATGCAAAATGGCATTAAATGATTGTTATATGCACTTTAATACATTGCTGCTACATTTGTAATAAATTTTGTTGATTGTTAGTTCTCTATATTAAAATCAACCAATCAACACTCAGCAAAATTTATTATGCATTTAGGAAGTGTTTAAACAGACTAGGTCCTCTATTTCATACTCCAAATGAGGTATGGAATCTTCCGGTATTGGTTTTCTAACCTGATATGTATGACTTTGTGGACTGATACAGTTCTGTTAGCTCTATACATTCAATGGATTCAGAACTTGGAAGGTGGTTTCTAATGGATAAGAAGAGGAAATCTCTATTGATGTGGTTATATGCTGTTATGAAGTCTACATAACAGGTACACAATATTTTATTGGAGAGGTAAGCAATTTCCTGGATTTGTCTGATGACATATATGCCATCATTCCATTCCTTGCCAGAGCAAAAGACATGAAATGCCAAATAGACAAAAATGAGCATCTTGACTTTGCTTATAATCAAGGTCACAAAGCTGCTTGAGACATTTGTGCTATGTATAGGGATGAAATGCTTCAAAACAACTAAACAGTCAATGCTAAACTGTACATTGAACAAAGTGGCAATTCATCTGAAAAGATGTGACGGGCAATACAGTGTGATTATTCAACATGACAATGCTTGCCCTCACATTGCTAACATGATCAAACATGCATTTAAAGAGCTCAGTGAGGAAGTTCTACAACACCCACCATATACTTTTGATTTGGTCCCTTCAGACCCTTTTCCAGTCACTTTCCAACAATTTCAGCTTAAAACATGGCTTGATGAATTTTTCAAGTCAAAATCTTCTGTCATGGGGGCATTGAACAGTTAGTGGATCATAGGCAGGATGTTATAAAGAATAAAGATGAATACATTGTTGATTGATTCATCAGAACTATTAATAAATAACTGAATTAAAATAAATTATAAAAATAAAACAAACAAATTCATGTAACAACCTAATACCTATCTTGTCCTATTTATACTCAAGATGCAACTGGGTCTTGAGGAGTTGATTTTCATGGAACAGTGAAATCCTAGTTAATACAATATTCATACACAACTATATACAGGATTATTCAAAAAGAATGATCCGATTTCATTACGTAATATTTTATAAGGAAAAGCAATAGAAAGTGCCAGCCAAGGCACAAGTATTCTATTCACAATCAACTTTTATTTCCTGTCTTAATGTGTTCAATGTGGCGACCACCTGCAGCACAGGCAGCATCAATGTGATAAGAGAATTCCTCCCAGACACATATCAGCATATCACAATCCACTGAGTTGATCACTGTTGTTATTCAATGTTTAAGGTCATCAAGGTTAGCATGTAGCGGTGGGACATAAACACAATCTTTTATGTATCCCCACAAGAAAAAAAATCACACACAGTGAGGTCTGGGGATAAAATCCAAAAGAAGAATCAGCAATATTATTAGTCCTGATCTGACATCTTGGCTTCAGCCACTTTCTCACTGCCATAATGTTGCCACCCTGTGCCTTCTCTATAAATAATTTCATGATAATTGTTCGGATGAGCTCTTCACTATGGCATGAATTTAAGTGCAGTGCTAGATTAGCAACAAATCTCAATTATTTATATTTGAACTGGCTCACTGTAACCATAAGTTCTATGCTGTTTCTTTTCTCATCCTTCTCACTTGTTAAATTCTCTTCTGGCTCTATGCTTACCAGCTAGCTTTGATCTTCAAAAATTTAAATGCAATGTTGTTGTAGCATACCTATTGACGATAATGGGTATGTCCCCATTCACATAAATGCAGTAGTAAATACTGTATGTTGGTCTGCAGTTGGAGATTCATTGTGGAATTCACTTGACTCACTTCTAGCAGTTGACTACATGCCACAGGTGAATCTTATGTGTTGTTCTTGTCCTAAGTATTATTGTTCATTACCAACCTTCATGTGATTATTCTATTCAGTAACCTTTCCTAAGTCACAACAAATGTCAATCATTATCTACTGTTTGCCTGATTACTTTTTTCTCTTCCCACTCATTAGTAATGATTCTGTTTTTCGAATTCTTCCAAACTCAGTAACCCCTTGCATCTTAGTGGCTTTACTGCTTTGCTTATATATATGGATAACTACTGATCAAACTAAGAATGGATTTTTTTTAGTATTGAGAATTTCTGTTTTTCTGCCTTCTAATGTATTTGCCTTACAAACCTTTGTAAAATGCTTCATGTCAAGATAAGTAAAGGACTTACCTTCTTTGCAAGATCTAAAGTGTCATCTTTTCCTAACTCTGCCTTGCATTTTATCCTCTCACAGAGATGTGTTACCTGTTCATCAATCAGTTCCTTCTCCATCAGGTGCATTTCAACCTCTGCCAATTGCATCTCCGTCTGAAAAAAAGAACATTTAAAAATGAACCTATTAAAATTCTACATGATCATCTTTTATAAAGATTTTTTTTTTAAATCCTGAATCAATATTTTTGATTTCGGTCAATGTGTACTTATGGTTGGTTAGTACTACCACTAATTAGCATATGTCTAGTAGACGTTATGTATAGGCTTGCTATATAAGGTAATGGCAATAGTCTTGGACTGTAGAACCAATACTGACTGCATATAACTGCAATCCCTACTTGGAATATCATAATGGTACTTATGAATGAAATATATGAGATATTATGAAAGCTTGATCAACATGAAAAGGGATGAATGTACTCCATAATCTGTTTTGAGAATGAAAGGTTTGTATGTGAATAAACAATGAATCAAGTGTGTACCCTAAAATAGAAACAGGAGTGTAACAAGGATGTGTTTTCTTACTGAATTTATTTAACCAGTATAGTGATATGATTCTAAAAAAATTAGAGTTCTTGGGATGAAATTTGAAGGTGCATTGAGATGCATTCCAAAAGCCAAATAGAGTATTAAGAAACAGACAAAATTCATTAGAAACAAAGAAAAGAGTATTGAACTGTTATGCCATAGCAGTTTTCCTATATGCCAGTGAATGCTAGACAATCTCCTCGCAGATGAAGAAGAAACATAAAGCAACAGATATGTGGTTCTACAAAAGGATGCTGAGTATACTATGGACTGAACATGTGAGCAATGATAAAGTTTTAGAGAAAATGGAAACAAAAAGGACACTTAACATTAGGAAGTTGTTAAGATCAAAAATTTAACAATATAATAGGAGAATTTCTACAGTTATTTTAATGTCGTAGAACTTGCCATGAACTTATTCAATGATTAACTTAAGAATTACAATTCATCAGAAAATTTAAATAGGAAAACTGTGAAATTTTCACAGGACTGTCTAGAACTAATAACAGTGGTAATATAAACTAACCCATTCAAAATAGCTCAATTGGCTGTAACAGTACATGCCTGGGTCATTTGGTCACTTTTATTTCATTCCTGATCCCATGGTCATTTAAAGATCCACACAGTTGACAATGGCTTTGGCTGGTATGTCAGTGCAGAGACATAAACACACAAAGGTGATGGCTATTCCAAAACAGGAAAACAAAAAAGCATTCCAATATTTTCATGACAATTGTTTTGATGAGCTTTCCTCTTTCATACTTTGACTAAGTGAATTTAAGTGTAGTACTAAATAGGCAGTTAGGTCTCATCATTTTACTGTTGAAATAGCTAGATGTAACCATAAGTTCTGTAAGTTTCTTCACTTGCACTTCTCAACTGTAGAACTCTCTTCTGGCTTCCTGCTTTCCTGTCAACTACAATCTTCAAAAATTTAAATGTAACATCAATCGCCATCTTCTGTCTTTTTGAATCCTATTTTTTTTTAACTGCCCTTTCTCCTCACTGATGTTTTTTCCTTTTTTTTTCACTGTCAGTAACTTCTTATGTTTAAGTGGCTTTATCACCTTTCTTGGGGTGAGATGATTAAAAAACAAACTAAAAACAAGGTTTATTGATGACAGAATTACAGAAACAATTGGACTTTTCCTATTGGCCTTAAGAATTGCAACTGTTCAGATGCTTTTAATCATCATCTGCTCCTCCATGGAACTGTAGCAACAAGAAGAACAAGGTTGGTCAAATCCTAATCAGAAAATTTTTAAATGAACGATACTGTATTCACGTCATTTATGACAATGTGTGACACTGGCAAATGAAAAGAAAGGGGTTAAATTAAAAACATGGTTCAGAACAAGATGAGAAGGGTTAAAGAATAGAACAATCACTGAGAGAAGGAAAAGGGATTTCTTTTTATTTTCTGAGTGTTTCTTTTTATGGCAGAGATACATCAAAGAAAAACGATTCTGTTCCAAGACATTACCACAAAAGTCATATGGCAATATTTAGCTGACAGCTGATTAACGAGGCAGCTTAAAAAGTACCAGTTATAAAAACACAGTATAAGCAGAATAGATCAAATTTAGTCTGTAACCAAAGCAAGGGAATAAAGTTTCTTTGTGTAAAGACCCAGGACCCAAGGTGATTGGAGTACAATGACTCTGGAGGGATTATGACTGTCTGGAGGAAGCAGCTGGTAAACTTCTGATTTTTGAGCAAAGTCAGGTTGAGAAATTTCACTGACGCAAAATTTAAAATGATAATTTTAATTAATGACTACAAACTAGGGCCACATCATGTGGTTGAAAGCAAGATTGGTTGAAGGACAACCAAGGTAACCAGTGCAGGTGAAATACTGAGGAAAATGAAGGAATTACCTACACCCATTGGGTAGTTTCAGTGTGAGGCACAAATAAGAGAAGGAATGAGTTGGGTGGATCGATATCCTGTGACTGGTACCCATTGGAAAATGGGTCTCTCCAATTTTGGAAGTATAATTAATTATCCAGAGCCAGACAACAAGGAGCCCCTTTTTGGAGATAGAGACACTACCAAGTCCCCATATCCACATCAACCCCCATGCAAGTTTTGCATGGAAGTCAATATAAGTAGAATACTGAGATGACCAAGAGACAGAGGTTCCAGATAACAGATGAGAGATGACCACTCAGCCAAAACCCACATGACTTAATGCCAGAGAGAACCTCCAAATTGAGCCTTGTTCCAGGCGTGACCATGTCACAACAAAACACAAAGCAGGAAGGGTTATTTTTTGTACCCAGAACCAATTCATTGTATAAAAACAGTTTATAAATTTTCATAGAACTAGACCCTGAAGAAATCTTGTCTTTTCTTTAACTGCAAAGACATTTTTTTGTTATAATTCCTTTGTGAAATAGCATTGCTGGGAATGGGTTAACATCACTTTTGATGACAATTTGATGTTTGCCAGCTCTGTGATCAAACAACACAGTATAGGCAGAGAAACGGTTTAGACCAGAGTGAGCAACCCAAGTGTCAGCAACCCAGTGTCAGCATTTGCCCAAAGTCCGACTGTTTGAAAAGTGTTATAATTTTTGGTCTTGAAACAGCTGCTAAACTCAGTATTATACATACAAAAATTCCTCCATGAATTTTGCTTCAAAATGTTGAAATCTATTGTAATGGTGGTCTTACTGTTAACAAGAAAAAAAGTGGACATGTCAAAACAGCAAACGGAGATGAGTAAAAAGAGATTTTATTTCCCTTGATCTACAAGGTTCAATCATTTACTTGTTCTGAGGAGACTGTGAGTTTGTTCAGGGAATAATACAAGTTGGTAGTTGAAATAGATATGTGCAGAAAATCAACATGCATATGTAGTCAAGTGGCATAGACAAATAGAAATATTCCACAAATTATTGCATTGTAGTAAGCAAGAGTTTTTCTCTGATGCTGCTTGTTTTGTCCGAAGGCATCGCTGTTGATGAAAACAACTTGGTGTTACTGCTGATGGCCTTGGGCAGTCATTTAGCCAGTTGTGTTCAGTTAAGTTTGCCTGCCCTGGGGTTACATCACTAATGCCTTCCAGGTCAGATCTGCACTATGGTTGAAATCAGCATTGGTTTTATAGTCAGTAAGTGGCTCAGAAATGGCTGCTGTGAAAACTGTGTGGGCTTTTTTCTGATTGGTCAGAAAAGACGTTTAGTACATTGGTATTTTGAAGTCAGCATGCAGAGCTGGATTAAATTAAGGTCCATTTTTGTCATATGAGATATGGATGTTGAAGTAAATAGTTCTGTATGAGTTAAAGAATTGAAGTTCCAACAGGATACGACACATTTTGTTTGAAAATGTTGAATTCATTTACTTTGAAAGTATTCTACCACAACTGAAACAAGAAGTAAATTGTCCCTTTACGAACAGGTGACCAACTGCTGCAAATTTATCCATTATAATCCTGTAGCACCTGTATGGTACACAGTCATATGATGGTTTTTGTACCTGACATAGTAGTATATTATAGTCAAAGCCTGCTATCATAAGGTTAATTACTCTTACTGTGTAGACATAAAATACAGATTGTACATACAACATAACCAATAAAATTGGGTGGATTAATTTTCATTAAAGCACATTTCATATAAACATGAAGTGCTTCCTTTTAGGTCAGCGAAACTATATTCTCAGCCTTTTCAAATAAGCATTGTAATTATGATGTTCACTGAGTACAGAATGACACAACCTCTTTCAGTTCAGCAAAACTATATTAGCTCTTTGAAACAAGCATTGTAAATTATGATGATCAGTAAATAGAGAACGAGAAAAACTTCCTTAGTTCAGTTAAACTTTATTTTCAACCTCTTGAAATAATCATTGTTATCAGAACTGTCGTGAAATATAGCTTGACACACCCTCTTTCAGTTTAGCAAAACTCAGCCTCTGGACTTACTGCAGAATTCTATAGTTTTTTTATAGTATTCTCTAATATTTCCAGTGCTAAGCAAAGAAATTACCGAGCCTGATTTATATTTGCCCACAAGTCTAATGTATATTGCTGCTTTGTATTTTTGCACCTTGCAGAAGTATTACTTCACTTTTGTTATTTGAACTTCTTTTAATACACATTCTACATCTGAAGGTAGGTGGAGAAGGGATCTGCTGAAATAGTGGGAAAATCCAAACACAAAAATGCAACACAAAGAATTGAGTTCGATCTGAATAATTCTTAGAATGATAATGATTGTCTGCACACTTACAGAAAGAAAACTTTTCAAGTTGGAATATTTGAATTATCTGAAAATCCATTTTGACAAACAAATTCAATTCAGACTTACCTTTTTTATTTTATCTTGTAGTTCCTCTGGAGTAGGGTCCTTTCCTGCAAGGAATCGAATAGCACTTTCATCTGTACGATTGATGATTGATTTCTCAAGTTCAGCACTTTGATTCCGGCATTGGGTGAGCTGGCAACAGAATCCAAATATCCAAATTATCTATTGTATGACAGTGTTTTAATATATATATGGAAATATTTGGAATGTATATTAGAATTCAGATTTATTTGCAGATATTTTCATAGGTAAAATTTTATCTCAAAAATAAATTGACTGAAAAATGATCAGCCAAATAATTTGCCTTAAAATTAAAAATGTCTGCTTTTATACATTTGGCAAGATGAAGGTGTACTGATATGAAAATTTCCCTTTGGTCAAGATGAACTCACATGGGTCAGGTGACAGCCACATAGTGATGTCACGTCATAGAGTGAAGAAAGTGGCTAGTTCATCAGTCAGCTTTCATGATTCAAACCAAGTGTTTGCCTTTTTTTATAGCCCGAGATCCTTGGCCTGGTCTGAGGCTAAATCTGCCTCCCTAAGCCAGCTTAAAAACCCATGGCACTGTTTTCCTATGAAAATATATCTTCACTAGATTAAAAACTATCTCCAGCTCACAGGCCTCATGTTGAGAAAAAAATCCATGGCTTGCTGTTTCTAGTTTGAAAGGAACATGTCTTCACTAGTGACATAGCAGATAAATCCAGCTCACTCGAATCAGGTATTCTAAATGTGGTGTCTCCAGAAACACAGAAGAAAATCTCTGACAGATCCAATTCCCATTGGGAATTATTATAAGTAAGACCCTATCTTTTTGTTCTCTTTTCCCACTGCTTGTTGTGTAGTTATGTGTTATAATTTCTCTATGTGGGACACGTAAATATGTGTATATAGTTTTGTGCATGACTTAGTGGTATAAAATTCTCCCTGAGAACAAAGCATGTATGTCTTTCCTTTTCTTCCAGCTATTCTATTCTGTCTATGTATTAAGGTGTTATTATATCATGGGTATAATAATGCCCATAATAGGGGAAGTGCAATCTGCAACTTGTCAATCTGCAATTTTTTTTCTTTTTCACTAAATTTCACCTAATACAAGTCTCAAGAGCCACTCAAGTCTGCACACAGTTACTCATGCTGGAAGATGTTGCTATCTAGATCAACATCACACATATGAACAAAGCAAGTAGGCAATGAGAAAGTTTTAAGGCAAGGGAAGAAACATTGCTAATGGCCACAAGGAATAGGAAGTGGTGGAGAGCCATGATCGACCATGCTCTCAAGTGACACAACACATAGAAGGAGTGTGTGGATATATATGTATATACATATATGTATATATGTGTGTGTGTAAAAATTATAGACTATTATTACTTTAACAACTTAAGTTTCCTCCTTTTTGTCAGGTATAATCAGACTAGGTTATCACTATATAATAACTGCTATTGTGCATTTATTTATTTATATCTTTTGTGTTATACTCTATGTAATTGGCTAGGACAAAATGGTGGGTTAATCTTGATTAATTATTTTTTGAGTTGTTTTCCTTGGTTAATCAACAGCATATATACACAGATATAAAATAATCAAAATTATATAATAATTGCCATTTTGTATTTATTTATTCATTTATATATGAGTGAGTGCTGAGGGCAACACTGAGTGGCAATAGTGTTTCATGCTTGCTTGCATTTGAGCATGAAACAGCTTGTCGCCACTTCGTGCTAACCTCAGTGTCTGCTCTTAAATTTACACACACTCTATCCCTGATGCTGAAAACTTTTATCCATAAATATAGCTATACCTTAAAACTATATTTTTATCATATATATATATATATAAATATATATATATATATATATATATATATATATATATATATACATACAATGTTCAATCTATGTATTCATTACTAAATTAAGTGCATTGGAAAAGAGGATTATATTGAAAAATAAATCTGTTGTATAAAATAACATTTTTTTTTATCATAAGGCTGCAGACTTCTTGATTTACCTATGCACTGCTTAGTTCAAACATGCAATAGAAACTGACACAAGTTGCAAGATTGAAAAAATATATCTGTTGCAATTGGTCACCTGAATTTGGGAAGTGGTCAGTTCCTCCAAGAGATTCCGCTTGTCAGGAAGTTCCTTCTGCAACAGACTCAATTCCCTTTGGTACATATTCTTTTCCAGGTGCAATATTTTCAACTCTTGCTCTAAATTCTCCATTTCAATGTTGCCCCTTTTGATCAAGTCTTCTGCAATAAAAGAACCAAGTGAGGCCATAAGTCAGAACATGATGCTTAATAATCTCTTGGTGCTGATCCATTTGACTTTTTATGATTCTAAGTTTACATGCTATTAGCCTGACTGGATTTCCTATATAAAAGAAGAGTTTTCAGCTTGACTACCACTGACTGGGAACACAGTACTTTTTTAATCATATTATCTCATGCAAGGCAATAAAACTATTAAAATACAAGAAGTTACTGAGTGAAATAATAAGAAAAAAGGAAAACATTATTAAGAACTTTTAACAATAGAAGAGTAATCAGGAAGACAGTAGATAACAATTGACACTGCATTTAAATTTTTGAAGATCAATGTTGGCTGGAAAGCATGGAGACCTAAGAGAGTTCCATAAGCAAGAAGTGTGAGAAAAGAAACTGTTAGCATGGAACTTATGGTTACATCTAGCCAACTCAATGGTAAATTGATGAGATCTCAGCACTAGTCTAGTACTGCGCTTAGATTCAAAAAGTCTAGGTACCATAGCAAAGAGCACATCGGAACAATTACCATGAAATATTTATAGAAAAGGTACAGATGTAAGATAGATTCTGGAGAGAAAAATTGTCTAGCATGACACAGTGAAACAACTTTCTTAGCAGCAGACCTAGCAATATAATCAATATAATCTTTCTACTTCATGTCAGCTTGAGAAGGTGCAATGAGTCACTCTCATGGGGGTTAGTATCAGCCATGCAGATGGGAGGCAAGAATGGGTCTTTCAGGCAATTGATAAAGAGAAGTTTAATTTTGGAGTTATTAAAATTAACAACCCGTTCCTTGCCCCTGTTAACAACAGACTGTAGGTCATTTTTGAGATCATCTGCTAATTTGATCTTATCGAACTGATCAGACATACTCTCAAGACAGAGGTAAATGGTTAAGCTAAAAATCAGTTTGGTAATTTTGAACAATTGGAAATGTGAAATTGAAAGGTGGGGGGCTGGCAGGCAAAGCAAAATTTTACATGTGTTCCAACCATTAGTGTTTAAGTACATTTTTAAAAAAATAAAATGTACACATAATTTTTAAAAAGAATCATCAATTCTCAAAATACCAAACAATCCCACATTTTGTTGGATGGCTGGCAAACATATTTATCTCTGTCACAAAATACAAACACATATCTATTTTTTTTTTTACTAATGTTCACTTTATAAGTTAGTCTGTTAAATGCCACACATGATACACACTTGGGCAATCATGCCTCTTTCGATTCATGAGTGACTAGGCAGAAGATTTTCACACAGTAGGTTGCCAACCTAGGAGGCACAGTGGAGTAATGGATAGCAGCTTGGATTGAAGAATCGGAGAGCTGATTTTGAATTCCAGTCGAATCCATTACATTCACTTATGTGCTAATACCCTTGGAAAAGGTATAAATCCCGTTCTTTCCCCTCCCCCCAGCTATGGGCAAATAGCAGGACTGACTGGGTTCTATAGCCTTGGACAGTCTACTGCAGAAAGAAATGGCAACTGACTGTGGGAAAAAATCTGTCTCGTCAATTATGTATCGAAAGATACATAATCGCCTAAGCGTGTATCATGCATGGTATATAACTGACTGAGGTTGCCAACCAAAGCTATAAGACCCAGTCTGTCCTGCTATTTCCCCCATAGTTGGGTGGAGAAGAAATGAATTCCTAGATTTTCCAATTTTCATTTTCTTTGACATTTTTTTGTCTCACATGTAGTCAACCAAAAAAAAGTCTTTATTCCTTGAAATTTCAATCTATTTAACAATCTTCTCTCAACAATATTCTCTCAAACCTCTTTCTAACATTTTGTTGTTTGTGTTGGTTGTCTTTTATCTCATGTAAGCCCTCCAACCCAATATGGGATCAGACCTATTCCTCCTCTTGTTATGAAAAAAAAACCTTCTTCATTGACTGACATGTGTGTAGTCTGTCATCTTAGCTACACTCCATGCCAATATCAGTAGCCAAATTTATTCCTTCTCACCTTATTAAAAAATAAAACTTTCCATTTCCTCATGACTGTGTTAGTTGAACTGCATCTCAATTACACTTCCACCTCCAATAAGTCCCCCACCCCACAAAACAAGTAGTAATCATTTCTGTTATGGTCCGGTTCCTTGTACCACGGTGATAGTCCAAGGTAGAACCAATAAAGAAGAACTCGAACACAGATATGGAATAACACAGATATATTACAAACAGGGATATATACAGAGAAGTAGAAAGTGTTAGTACGAACAATCAGGTTTAGTAGTAATTGTCTGAACGCGACTCTGTTTCGATCTGCCTCTGACTCGACTGACTGACTTGCTCTGACTGACTGACCCCTAACAGACTTCACTCCAGACTTCAGACTGAATGATATCCAGTCACCCCACCCACAAGGGCATCATGTGGCACAAGGCCGGTTTAACATGGTATCTTCGAGCCCGTGGGCTCGGCCAAAAATATGCCCTTTGAACCTGTATACCTCCCCAAAAGAGACTCCGCTCTTCCACGTAGCCTCATTCGGGTTCCTCCCTGCCCGAAGGCAGAGAGTTCAACTGATCAGCCAGTTGTCCGACTTCAGACTGAACTTCCTGCTTCCTCTTGAGGCACAGTATTTATTATGTATGGAATAGTCCATTCTGTTATCATGGGTAAGGTCTCGTAACAATTTCACTAATATTATAAACAACTCTTATTTTATGAATATAAAAATTCAATGCTTATTTAGGATTTCCCTATGTCAACTTTATTTCTTATAAAATTAAAAAGGCACAATGAATCACTCTCCTAGAGGTTAGCATTAGCCATCACTATGGCTCATGCTAACCACCATGCTAACTTCTGAGGCTAACATTTTCCACTGACATGAAGTGGAAAGATTATATTGAATCAATTGCTACCTCTGCTACAAAGAAAGTTGGTTCAGTGTGTCATGCTAAACAATTTTTCTTGCTAAAATCTATCTTGCACATTTATAAATCTACCATTCATCCATGCATTTAATATTGCTGCTAAATCTGATCTGGTGCTTCTGCCATGTATTTAGACATTCTTGATAAAATTAAAAGAGGAATCTGCAATGTTATTGATCCTGACCTGGCATCATGCCTTTAGTCACTTCCCTTTACTACAAATACTTTTGTGGCAATTGTTCCAATGAACTTTCTTCTTTGGTACCTCAACTTCACAAATTTTATAGTTTTTAATGTTCTCTCTCACCTCTCCTTCCAACTTCAGTAACCCTTTGAATCTTAGTGGCTTAATCACCTTGCTTGGGATAAAATGATAAAAAATAATCTTGTTAGAAATCAATTTATTTTCACAATTTAATTCATAAATTAATTTGAATAAATTTAGCTATTAGAAAAGACATTGAGTCAATTGCTTCGTCCACCACAAGGAAAGTTGGCTCCCTGTGCCATGCCAGGAAATTTTTCTCTCTGGAATTGATCCTTCAAATCTACAAATCAACCATTCACCCTTGCATGGAGTATGGAGCCCCTTCTGTTTGCCTCGGGGTTCTTGATAAGATCCAGAGACGGATATGCAATATAATTGGCCCTGATCTGGCATCTCATCTGCAGTCACTCTCTCACAGACATGCAGTCGCCTCTCTCTGTCTTTTTTACAAATACATTGCTCTGATGAGCTGCCTTCGCTGGTTCCAAAACTTTGCAAATTCAAGCATCCTACGAGGCTCGCATCCCGCTCTCACCCTTTCACTGTTGAAACTGTTAAATGTAGCCACCTCTTCTACTCCAATAGCTCCATATCTCGCACCTCTTACCTGTGAAACTCCCTACCCTACTCCTGTTTCCCTGATAGCTTTAATCTCCAACTATTCAAATGTAATGTCAATCAACATCTCTAGTTGCCTTGATCTATCCACTATCCTTCTCCTCATCCTCTCCTCTATCATTACTATCTGCTCTCACTCCAAATCCTCTGTAGCCCCTTGCGTGCTAGTGGCTTCCCACCTTGCTAGGGGTGAAATGCTTAAAAAAAAAAATAATGTCAATATATAATCAATTTCTTCCAATATATTTCCATAGTACATCATTAGCAATGTATTTCTATAGTAAATCATTTGAAATGCATTTCTGTAGCAAATTATTTGCAATATATTTTATAACAAATCATTTGCCATGCATTACTTAGTTTGCAATGTATTTACAAAGTAAATTATTTACAATGTAATTCAATAGTATATATATATATATATATATATATATATATATATATATATATATATATATATTGGATGTCTAGCCTCACTGAGGAGCTGTGATACAGTGAAACAGTCTGTCTGCATATATACTCCTGAATATCCAGTTGAGCTCTCTAGGTTAAGGGGTTCCTAATGTTATTAAGAATTACTCTTCAAGTATGAATGAGTTCTCCAAGCCACTGGTGTATTTCATTTAGAGAAAAACGTTAAAAGTCCCTTCCTTTCTGGCATGAGACGATGGCCTAGAGGTAAGATATCTGACTGATGTCAAATTAGCCAGGTTTCGATCATGGCTTGAAGCAATTGGACATCTAGCCACACTGAGGAGCTGTGATACAGCAAAACATTCTGTCTGAGGATGACTATATATATATATATATATATATATATATATATATATTTAGAGGAAGAGTCCATGTGTGCTTCTTGTAGTATTTAAAATAGATAGGTTGGTTAATAAAACAAGGGAAAGTGAAAGTGATCAGTGCGGAAATTTCATAAGATAGTTAGGGTTTATTTACACTTATCACACTTAAACACACAAAGCATCTATTTTTGCAGACACCTTTCCCCCTCTTTCCTTCCTGCACTGTTATTACTACAAATATGTTTCTATCTGTTTATTTTTTCTGTAACATTTTCATTTTATTTTTATTACCTTCTTGTCTTCTCAGTCTCTACTCATCTGGTCAAATCCATCACACCTTCCACCTAAGGGACGTCTTCCCAACCCCAAATCCTAAAAGCCTCTACCCCTAGTTCAAAATCATACTTCCCCACTTTCCACACTGATAAAGACGAAACAGACTGATATCGTTCACCCTGATCATTTTCAAAAAAAGTTTTGCAGACAAGAAATAAAGCAGGGATCGGATTTATACTGATAATAACTTCTACAATGAGTTCACACCAGCAAAAAAAAAACACTGTTGGTGAGTTTTCCCCATTTCTCTGTTTATTTTTCCCACTGCTGATGAAGGACACAGGCGTGCCAGAAAATTCCTGACTAATAACTTTAACCTCTGTGCTTCATTTCTGTCTTGTAATTAACAATTAATATATAATAAATTCTTTTCACACTGATCACATTGACAACTTTTCGTTTTCCCTTGTTTTATTAACCAACCTATCTATTTTATATATATATATATATATATATATATATATATGTATGTATGTATGTATGTATAGATTTGCCTATTTCAAACCATGAATAGCAACATTTCTGGAGAAGCTATCTTGATAAAAACATTTGATGTACTTGCCTCAAATCATTATGACAAATCCTTTGTCAGGCAGGACCCACCTTGCTTTGTGCGAGATTAATACCAGTCCTGCCTCAGCAAAATAACATAGCTATGAATGTATATAATTAGAAATTATATATGCAGGATATATTTGTGGACTTGGAGGTGCATTAAATTATAATGAAATATATTATAAGTAGAAATGAAATAGACCTTTAAAAATTTTATAAAGAGTGAGTGAGATGCTGAGCATGTCTCCAATATACTGATATAGTCAGTAATTATATATCTATGTTATATTTGTGGACTTGCCAGTGCAGTGAATTATAAGGAATTATATTATGAATAGAAATGAACTAGGCCTTTAAAAGTTTTATAAAATATGAGGGAGATGCTGAGCATCTCAAATCGTGAATGGCAAGCTTCCTTTAGATAGTGTCTCAATAAAAACACTCAGTATACTTGGGCTGAGTGTATGATTGGGCATCTGTATGGTAGAGAATCAAGCCTTGTAAAACCTTGCCTGAAATCATTATGACAAATCCTTTGTCAAGTAGGATCCACCTTGCTTTGTGCAAGATTAATACCAGTCCTTCCTCAACCAAAAACATGGTTATGTATGTCTGTATGTATGTATGTGTAGAGAACAAGCTATATTTTTGCTGATTAATAATTTTGCTTTCATTACAAGTTACTTTGCTTTGCCAGCAAATATCAAGAAGCAGACAGACTTACTTTGAACATTATGCTTCTCATAGAACAGACAGACATCTGAGTTAAGCTTGATGAGCGCCTCTCCTCTGCAAAAGACACAAAAATTTTAGATATAAAGCAAGCACATTGATTTTACTCAAATTCTTATTTCAAGTCATGCAGAAAAACAGGGGAAAAATCTTTCGCAATGTTTAACGTTAGAGCCTGAAAAAAAACAGTGAGTCAAAAGGACATTTAATCTAATCTCTCTAACCACCATTATCACATACACTTTTGATTTCTTTGGCAAAGTTTATGTACAAGATTATAAAAATATGTGACCCAAGTACAATGAAATATTTATTAATTACCATTTATAAAGTGTTATGGTATTCCAAGTAGGGATTGCAGTTGTGTGCAGTCAGTATTGGTTCTACAGTCCAAGTACCATTACATTAGTCTATGTAGCGAGAATATATATAATGTCTATCATACACATATGCTAATTAGTGGTAGGACTAACCAACCATTACCCCATAAAGATTTATTATTTACCATTTTATAAACCATAAATAACTATGAAAACAAGTGTTTTTATTATTCAGTCTAATAAATAAATAAATAGTGTTTAATATTTTATTGTCAATCCTCAAGAATGAAGGAAATGCATAAATCCACTTTTATGTTTCGGTTTTATTAAAAATCTTAACATCACTTTCTAAAACAATCAACATTGCCAAGATTTTTGGTGGTGTCTCCATAGACTGTGGCGTCATCTACATCATCTTATTTTTTGCTGGAATTGAAAACTATTTCAATTCCAGCCAAAAGTAAAGGAGTTGAAGCCCCACTGCCTGTATTCTCTGTAACACTATGGATGGTAGCAGATCCTATAAGTGTTGCTAGCCAATCCCTGTTGTAGATGCCGGCTCATGTTTATTTATGTTTGTTCAACACGCACAAAGTCAACCTGTGGTTTATACAGCAATTATGCTGAGCAGAACTTAGCTACAGTTTCTGAGAGATAATGCATCATCTGGTGTGATCAACTGTTTGAACAAGGCCAGTATGCATAAACTCTCAGTCACAATGACTTGTGATTCTGTGCTAGTACAACTATTGACACCCTTCGAACAGTTCTGTCTACCCAATTTCCCTAACAAGACTTGGGTTAATCTTTGGCATCATTTTCAGGTATTTTCTAAAGGTGCCATATACCGAGAGCACCTTCCCAGGATAATAAGATCAAGAGTTCACCTTCCTGACACATCAGCCTTGGTGAGATTCAAAACTGGGTCATATAGTTAAAAGGTGAACATTCAAACCATTGTGTTAAAATGGCTTATTAACACTTTATAATGAATAGGCAACAGAAGGTCTTATTATAAACGCAATCTTAATTTTTAACTGATGAGTGAGATCTTATTAACACTTTAATATTAACTCTTCTAGATCATTCTATGAATACCACAGCACACCACCACCTAATCATCATCATCGCTATACATCACAATCTGATCCTGGCATTTGGTGAAGTCAGAGTTTGAAAGATGTTTTGAAAGGTTTTATTAATACTACAATGTTAAAAATGAATGTCGACAGAAGGTCATATTAATAACTGTTGAGATGTTGTGAGTTTCCCGCGTGTCGGTGTATGAATCAAGACAAACACAGTTGTAGAGGAAAATACTGGTATATTCATAAAAGCAATTAACAATAGAGTGATTAGTAGAACAAAGGTTGGTTAGTACGAAACAATATCCAAAGTCTATAGTCCAACGGTATGTACCAGTTAAGCTTATCTGGACTGCTCACGCTGACTCTCTCCCCAGAGCTGACTTATATAAGAGGGACCAGTCCATTACTAGTTAGAAGGTGGGTGCGCCCCAACAATAACCCAATGTTAATCCATACCTGATGAGTAGGTCAGCATTGTTATACTCTTCCTAAAATCAGATCTTCTTCTGATTCATAGCACACAAATTTCTACTACTGGCTGGATGTGAATGCTCTGAAGACCAAGACTGAACTAAAAATTCTGTCAAGTGTACATCAGCTCTGCACACACGTTCCACTTTCTTCACACCCAAAAAACATACAAGGCAAATTTTTTATGCAATAGCACCCACTCCCACCTAAAGAACCAAAATAAAAATTGGAGCCAATCTGAGCCTAGAAAAAGGGCATAAAAGCCCATGAAAAGGATATCTTGTCAGTTGATCAGCATAACAGCCAGGGTTCACATGCTCATTGGAATGCCACCTCCACATCTGCCCTCCCATCTCCAAGGACAACTTGCCAAAGGTCGTCGCCACAGTAAATCACGACTCACCCTCCCTCTCCTACCATACGCCTTTGCAGACGACTTTTAACATTTCTACTTATGTCTTTTTTTCAATGAGAGACATTTACACCAATTTACCATTTGTTGTATTTTTACGTTAATACAATTATTTATTTTTTAAAGTTCTGTTGTTTCTTCCTTGTTCTGCCACCATAAACTTAATATAATAGCCTCATCATCACCATCCAGTTACATTGCCGCCATCCAATTGAATTGTACACCATATTCAATAGGTCAGAGAGATTGCAGCTGTTTGATATATGTCGTCCTCTGCTAGCTAATCCTTGTTCGAGATCCCACTAAAGAACTTTACTAACAATTTCGTCTTTAGCTTTCCAGCAATGCCTTGTAAATTTGACTAGGCTTGATGATGATGGCTGATATTAGATAATGGTTTCTATGCAATCGCTCATTTGTCAGATGATTACTCCAAGTAGAATTCAAAGCCAGTCTATTTAAGTAATGCTATTTATCAAAACTGTCAGCTGAATACAACTGCTTTCCAAGATGAATGGTTAAAAAAGTCTTTGAGCAAGTAAAACCTGAGCATCTTGGCAAACACTATCCTTCTTTAAACCTTGGAGACTGACGTTACAGATTCATAAATAAAGAACTGTATCAAATAACAGAAACCACATCACTTGAGGACTACCAACAGAAGTACACAACTCAAGTGGATAGCAGATGTAACTTGAAGAGAAAATAATGACATCATCAAGATGTTGACATTCCACATTACTTCAAATAAAAGGTTAAGAAGAAAACCCCCATTGATACTGGAAAGAGCAATAACAGCTACTAGACTTGAGAAACCAATGATTTTTCTGAAAAATTGTTTTAAGTGAAAGATTTTTTAAAATTTCAACCGAAAACAGTAATGGCTGCTTGGCCAACGAATGTCAAATGTTTCCTTACAAGAAAACAACTAATATTACCTTTACTATTACCATATAATTTTATGCTATATCAATAAGGTATCATTTGAACACTAATAATATTTACATTTAAATTAAATCAGTTGAAATTTTGACTGGAAATTTATGTTCTGTAATATAGCAACAATTCTAAGTAGAAACTTATGAAGCTGAAAACATTTATTTTATTATACTTGATGGTTACAAGTTAGAGGAGAAAATGAGATATGCTTATTTTATTACCACAAGCTCCGAATCAGAAAATACAGACAGCAATAAAGATAAAAAATAACTTTGTTTGAAAAGTTTTTGTTGCTTTTTTATTACTAAAATTCATTGTTGACTTTTGAGTTGTGTAAAGAAATATTGGCTAAAAATAAATTTTTTAAAAAGATTTATGTTTAAAAAATTATGTATTCACATAATCACATCCTTTTTTATTTTAATGACTTTGTGAAAAAAAATATTGACTAAAAATTAGTTTCTAAAAGATTTATTTTAAAAATTTTAATTAAATCTATAAATATTTTAAAATATTTTATTTTATTTATTTATATTTAAAATATTTTTATGATTATTTATTTATGTCTAGGGAAGACCAGTGTTCCCCATTCCCCTTGTGGCATATTTTGTACATTTGGGTGCAAATAAATAATAAGCTCAAAATGTAGTATCTGTTCTTATCTGCTTAATCTGATACTCTCTCTCCACTTCTATCTTCCCTTTTTTCTTTCTTTCATTTTCTCATTAAAACCAAGTAATTACTTTCCCCATATTTCCACACAAATAGTCCATTATTTAGGGGACACTGGCAGGGCTTAACAGTTGTACAAAGCTTCTCTCTCAGCATTCTTCAAAAATAGAACCTTCAGAAGAGCCTCTCTCATCTGTGAATGGATATTTTATGGCATGAAAAACTTTATCTTGCACAAAAGCTATCAACAGAAATTGTACAACCTGCAGCCATAGCTCATTGTAACCACCACTACCACTTCTATTACAGGGAATGGTGTAGCAGAACCCTGATCACCTTCAGAACTGCCTGCAATCAGAGCAAGAGAGTTCTGAAAAATGTAAAGAATTGCTATGCAGAGTCAGCCCAAGCCAAAGTTGAAAGTAAAAGATTTAGTTCCCATGTGTAGAAGAATCTCTGGTAAAATTCTCAATAAAAGTAAACCAACGGTACCTACTATTATAAATAGCTTTGAGGTTATTTCATCCCTGTTGAGCATCCTGGGTAAGATGATAAACTACATCCAACAGCAAGGCCTCTGATCAGGAGGTTTTGAGGAGCATGGACCAACCTCTTAATTGCTGGTGTTCCCAGGTTCACCTCCCCAGGGGTGGTAGCACCTGTTAGAGTCCCAACTATAGACAAATAGTTAACCCTAACTGGAGTCAAAACACTATGGAAGTTTAAAAATAGGATTTAATACCAGAAATACTTTGTAAAAAATTTTTACCAGCAATAAATTTTGGAAGAAAAATTATTTCCAGCAACACATTATTACCAGCAATATATTCTTGAAAAAGAATATTACCAGCTATACAGGTTTGAAAAAAGAAATTACCAGAAATACATTTTTGAAAAAAAAAATATTATCAGCAATAAAAATCTTGTCAGCATTAAATAACCCATTGATGTTGATATGCTGTAAAACAAACCAAAACCAAACCAAATTATCCTTGTTGGATAAGGTTTAGCTCTTTCCAATGAATTTTGCCTTGAACTCCATGTCATACCATGGACCAAAAACTTAATGATATCTCTATCACAGCATGTGAAAATTCCAGAATCATCAAAAGTCTTAACTTTACAAAGGCTACTGGTCCAGATAAAATCTCCATATTTGTTCCTAAGAACCTTAGCCTATCAATATCAACTTATCAGACTCCTTAGTGTCATCAGCAAACTTCTTGAGTCTGTCACTAATAAGAAGGTTGTTGATCACGTCAACAGAAACAACCAGCTGAATATGGAGTATGGATTTTGCTACTCTAGGTCGGCTGCTGATGGTCCTGTCAGAGAATCAGTGAGGCACTCAATAATAAATGCATGTCAGAGGCCTTTGACAAGGTGTGATATAGGAGGTAGCTACACAGACTCTCCAGCTATGGAGTCTCTGAGAGTCCTCGCAATCCTCAAGTCTTTCCTATCAGATAGTTCCTAGAGGGTTAAGGTCTATGGTCAGCCTTCTGAGGCCAATGAGATCAATGCAGGCATCTGACAAGGCTCAGTACTTGGTCCTACCCTCTTTCTACTTTTTACTAAAGTTCTACTGAAGAAAATTCTCAGATTGTTAGAAAATATCTATACAGATGATAGTCTATGGGAGCACCACCAACAATCTGGATGACCAGAGCCTGGCTGCCAATCTCCCATCTGACTTAACTCTAACAGCCCAAATAGGTGAAAAAATGGCTTGTAAAATTTAATATCACAGAAACCAAGCTAGTAAGTTTTCATCACCACTGAATTGACCCTGAATTCTCAATGGAATGGTTGCACTCTCAAAAAGGTTCTTTATTTTAAGAATCTCTTAAGACTCAAGCTCACCTCAGACTTCAAGTGGAACTTATCTATACAATCCATCATTAAGGATGCTGAAAAACGTAAGTACTAGGCTCCTCCTACCATGCTCTATCATTAAAAGAATCAGATTAGACCAAAAATTGAGTATTGCTGCCATATGTCCTAGAGCTGCACAATCTTCACTTTCCAGTCTCAACAGAATTCAAAAGCATTTATGGAGCCTTGTAGGTGATGGATTATTTTCCACTCTACAAACCCTTTCCCATAGGCCCAATATTGCTATTTCCATGGAAAATGTTCTGACAAGCTACATTCCTTAGTTTCACCAATTCAGACATTTACAGTTAAGAACTAGCATTCCATATACACAGAAATAAACCATCATTATTCCCTTTGTATTCCAGTGGTAAGGAGGAAGTTCAGGTGGCTTCTTCTCAAGAGTCATTTCTTTATGGAATGGATTTCTGAGAGGATACTTCCCTGACCACAATACTTTTAATATTTAGGGTCAACTATTATCTATCCTGCAGATTCTTATAATCTACACTACTTATATCCATACAACAACTTCATTCAGTAACTGTCTACCTTGAGTGACTCTTCGGCCTTATAGTGGGTGAACAATAGCACAAAAAATATTACATGCAGACTATTATCCTCATCTTTGTTATTATTATCATGATGCTTCAGCTATTGCACCTTCCACCTTTCTTCAGGTACTTGTCAATCTGGTTATTCTTTGGGTTATTTTGAACTGAAATCTTTCATTTAATCTACAGGAGTAGAGTGTTCTCATTCTATTGTTCATGTCTAGGAATATTCTGTCTAGTTTTTATTATTTCAGTACTGCTCAGTTATTGCTCATCCTATATCCACTGAGTCTAAATATGCACTACCCAGCTGAGAACTGAACTCAGATACTATGTCACGATAGTCATAAACCAACACTTTAATCAACTAGGCTAATACCACCGACAATAGATTAGTGGATTAAAGTGTTTGTTTGTGAATTTTGTGACATAGCAATCATGAATTCAACTCTGGGCTGGGGCAGTGCATGTTTAGACTCAGTGAAAACAGGAGAAATAATAACTGAGCAATACTAAAATAATAACATGTAAACAAGGCATTCATTGACATGGACTGTGGAATGAGAACAATCTACCCACATAGATTAAAAAAAAGGTTCAATTCATTGTTTACCAGGATAAGCAAGCATGAAGGACAGAGGGCACAATAGCCAAAATGTTGTGATAATAGCAACAAAGATGAAAAGAAAATAATGATAACTAACAATAACTAACAATAATAATGATTTCATCCCCAAAATTAAAACAGAAATTTTTAAGGTCTATCGACAATTCCTCAAACCCCAAACACTGTATCACAATTACTTATTTTATTTCAGCGGAGACAGAGTTGATATGATTTCTTGGAGGTGAGAGAGATAGAGGGAACAGATATCAACAGGTTGCCTAGTTGCCCATCATCACAGCATCCCAAGGAATCTGAGAGCAGAGATTTATCTTCACTCTTCTGTTGCTGCAATATTACTGATTGTCTTTGTGTATTTTTCAATCTTGTATTAAAACTTAAACAAAGACAATTCATCATTACCAAGATTCTGTGCCCACAGGGTGCAAACCACACCTGTGGAGATAAAATCAACTCCCCCTTAGTTCTGGTGGTTAAAGTTCTGACCAGTACAGTAAGATTTTCTATTTTTGTCTCACCTATTCATTCTGTAACACTGCTATTACAATTCACTCTACATTAGAACCAAGTTAGGATGAAGTGATTAGAATGGAATCTTTATAGAACTTAAAGGTAACCTTTGCCTTATTAGAAGTGTTGGTTTCAATCTGTTAGTAATGACTGCTAAGAAGATCCATCTCTCCAAATTTACAGGCAAATCCTACAGATGCATGCTGGGATTTCCTCCTAACCAATAAAAAGGGACAATTCTCAGTCTCATCTGACATATTTTTTCTTTCTTGTCTTGAAGTCAGAATGCTATAACCACTTGACTGTATCCCTTTTGTGTGTGAACAGAATTCTTTGTAAACATTTTCCCTTATTATTGTTGCATTGCTTTGCCTGGTTGGAACTTAAAGGCAAAATGTAGACCAAAATTTGACCCTATTAAAAGTAGCAAAAAATTTCTTACTTTTTATTGCGTGCTTGAATGGCATTTTCATATCGTTTCCTAAGTTTGATCATTTGATCTTCAGCTTGGTTGATCATGTAATTCAGTTTCATTGTCTCCATCTTCTGCTGGTCATAGCGTTCATCTAACTCAATGGCAACCCTGTGTTGTTTATCCAGTTCATTGCGCAGACCATCTCGTACCACAACACTGTGCATGTGTCTCAAGCGTTCCTTATGCAGCTGCCTGTAAGAAAGACAATTCTACAGCTAGAAGAAATTTTCAGTTATTGATACAAGAATCAACCATTTCACTCACTGTACCTACAATATGAGGTTTCTAAAAAACAAAAAGTTAAAATTTAAAATATCAGCTCTTGTTGAAAATAATTTGTTATGTAAGAAGGATTTAATTTAAATTATCAGTATATTAAAGACTAGCAGTAGAGCCCGACATTGCCCGGGGATGTAACAGTAAGAGATAGATCAAGTATCGACCATCATAAAGACTGAAAAATAAAATTGACAAAGATTATTGTTTAAGGTTGACAGACACGCATGTCTTAATTAGTTTTATTTTTTGTTTTGTTTTTTTTTTTTTTACGAATTGGTCAAACCCAAACTTAAACAAAAACATTGTTTTCAATCGTTATGAGTCTACTGATTGAATAGAATTTTATTATAATCAATTGTCTTGTAAATGGATTTTTTAAAGCCTTCTGAATGTAAAAATAACAAAAAAAAGTGTGCAAGACAATAAGAAACACTACCTGCCAAAAAAAAGTTTTGTTGAAATCAGTTGAAAAATGTAGGAAATCCAATCCCATATATAAACGAACACACACACACACGCACAAACAACCAACCTGGGTTTTATAACAAGTATAACGCGATAACTCGATATTAATAAGTATAACTCGATAAGAGTTGTCCCCCTTTCATTAATGCCTCTTAATTGAGTTTTCAAATTGATTTCATCGAAAAACAATTGTGTTTTTCCAATTTTTGGTACTGTCAGAACCACCACAAGGTAATTTTACGTAGTCCTGTGAAGTTTTGTTGAAATTGGTTGAAAAATGTAGGAAATCCGATCCAATATATAAATGTACAGACACACACACACACACAATCTGCATTTTATAATAAGATTATTAATTTAAATTATCAGCAATCTTTGAACTTTGTGCATGCAAAAAAATTGGATGTTTTTTTTTCCCATTATTATTTCAACGACCTTCACTCCTCAACAATGATTATTGTTTTAAAAAGTGATGATTAGAATTTTAAAGCTTTAAAACCTAAACATATGAAAGTGAATTTATATATTTTCTTTATTCTTAAGAATTAACAGCAAAAATAATAAACACTGTTTATTAGATTGTTTATTCGAATGGTTAGCAAAACATTGGTTAATTGTCAATCGATTCAAACTTTATAAAATGGTAAATAATAACAATTTCCTTATAGTTGGCTCACTTTAAATTTATATAAATGATAAATTGATGAATAAGAAATTTTCATATTTATTTTTTTATAAATTGGTAAATGATAAATATTGAATTACAATTGTATTAATTTATAGAATATTGTAAATATAAAATTATTCTTGTAAATAAACAATCTAATAAATAAGTAATGTTTAATATTTTTGTAGTGACACTGGCAAATTAATATGTCTAATTTGCATAAGTGCAAGAGAAAGCCAGAGAACAATATAACTCTTCACTGAGAATAACATGGAATGAAGACAAGCTTAGCGACTGACTAGTGCTAACTTTGACTTCACATCAATTTTTTTTGCCAATTCTCAAGAACAAAAAAGTGTAAATTAACTTTCATCATATGTTTAGGCTTTATTATAATTCTAACCATCACTTTTTGTTGTAGAGTAGCTAGCACCCATTCAGCACTCTACCATATGGCCTGGCTCATAGCCTTAAACAGTCTATGATTAAGGACTTAAAACAGTTGATTAATAAGTTGATACTAAGCTGATTAATATTCAAACTGATCTTGCTTCATTTGGCTATAAAGCATTTGACCCTCCTCTATTCCTTGTAAGTTGTCTTGTTAATTGTTTTGTAACTTATTGTTCTGTGTTTTCTTGTATGTATCCACTAGCACCGGATATTGGGACTGAATAAATATATTAAGCACTCATTCTTCTCTGTGTATCATTCACCTCAATGATACAACACTTTTTAAAACAGTAAATATTGCCACTGAGTGGAAGTAGTTATAATAATAACGGCATCAAGGGAAAAACCATTCTTTTGACAAACCATTTTTGAATGGGAGCACAACAGTTAAAGATAGCTGAAATTTCTTCCATTTTAAATTTTTACTTAATTGGTTCAACAGACTGAGGAAAATATTGAATGATATACTTGACAGGGATTTAGAAGAGTTACATTTATTAAATTTTCCTTAGAAAAGTGAGATAAGGAACTGAAATAAGGAGAAATGTTTAGAATGCTGAAAATCTGATACAAAGTCAACAGGAGTGGCAATAAAATGTATTTTCTAAGCAGTGTCCATTTCCAGAAATAAAAGCACTACAAACATGATATTAAGAAATTTACTTTTCACTATTGTCATAGGAAAAAGCAAGAAATAATTTCTCTCCCCACCAGCAAAGGCTCTAATTTTGGTTGGCAGTCAGACTAAGAAAAGAAAGACTAAATTCAAAACTGTGGAGAAGAAGAATAGATATAGCAATGCAAAGTTTATGGAGATTAAAGAAAAAGGAAAATTTCAACATCATAATCACTTATGTCCTGAAGAAATTTAAAAATATTGTTATGGCTGAAAATCAAAAGATACATTAGGAATATACAATAACTTTGAATTTTTTCCTAAAAGGAGTTATCTCCCCTGACAAGCTACTATTTGTTAAAGCTAGGCCGAGTAGTAAAGGAAAGTAAAAAAGAATGGACTCATCATCCATTGTAAGAAAACAGAAAGTATGGTTGTCAGCAAATGAATAAGACCAAGATGCAAACTATGAATTGTTGATGTCAACAGTGTAAATATCTGAGAAGTTTTTTAACAGAGGATGGAAAGTGTGACACTGAAATTTGAATGTGCACTGGATTAGCAAAAGAGGGTTTTGAATAGCTAAGAAACAGGAAAACATCATTAGAAACAAAGAAAAGAGTGCTAAACTGTTATGTAACATGAATCCTCTTGTATAGCAGTGAATGCTGAACAATTTCTTTACAGATGAAGAGAAAACTGGAGACAACAGAAAGGTGGTTCTACAGAAGGATGATGATAATTCCATGGATGGTGTACATAAGCAACAAAGAAGACTTAAAGAAAAAAATGAAACAAAAGGACACATACTTAGAATCAGAAAGAGGCAGCTGGAATTTCTTGAACATATAACGAGGAAGGAGAACATGAAGAATTTGACAGTCACAGGTCATATCAGGAGCAAGAGGGACATGGAAAAGGCAGCATGCTGCCTACCTGACAAGATTGTCTCAATGGATGGCAGAATTGGGGGTGTTAGATTTTTTCAAGGGGACAAATATTCGTAAGGGTTACAAGAGAAAAGAAGTTGTGAAGAGCTATGATTGCCCAATGAATGAAAGGTTGTGGCACTTAGAAGGTTATTAAAGGAAAAAGTTTTTGTTGTCCTTTTTCTCACTTTTTATGGATATTGAAGAAGCCAATTTCTGGGAATAATGTAAATAAAACATTAAAAATAAGCCTTCAATTCTTACTTGTCCTTTTGAAGAACAGCAGTTCGTAGGATTTCAATTTCATTCTGCAATATCTTGATTTTCTCCCTCATTTCTCCGGCCTTCTGAGTACATGTCTGGATCAATGTCACATACTTGTTCCTGTCATTCTTTATTAGTTCATATTTCTTGGCAAAAGTTTTCAGTCTAGGGAAAAGAAAAAAATGAAACATTTAGTATAGAACAAATTGCAGAAAGTATGCTTTTCTATAATTTTCCTTATTTTAAATGTTTCAGATGAGGTTTTGTTGCTATTATACATTCATTTGAACCACATTCCTTGTCTTCATTTTCTTAGTTACAATACTTCATATTTTTTACTGTCCAACATTCTGCACTGGATAATACATCATTTCAAGGAAAATACAGGAGTGTACAGTGTGTGAAAACATAATTAAACAAAAACAATTAGGAAATTGGTTCAAATGAATCAATGTATAATAGTCAGATAAACTCATCAGAATTTCATGCAAAAAGAAATCCAAAAGTTATACCAGCCAAAATGTTTAACAAAGACACAGAAAACAAGAAAGTTGGTCCAATGAATCAATGTATGATAGTCATATATCATTTTACTGTAGAAATTTACACAGAAAAAAAGGCTGTACAGTACAGCAATCAAAGAATTGTAATAAAGACAAGAATGAGAAATAAATTAGTAAAAAAGAAACAATAATAATAGTTTCTCCTTTTGTTGCTTTCTTCCAAAACATTTAATGAATGTTTAAAGATCCAGTTTATGTAGGAAAAATATTGAGAAAGATGGCTGGCTCCCAGAATACATTTACATAATATGCAAGATTTTGATATTAAATGAAACCTGTGTAGAGTCCAGGTAACTAGATTTGAGGAAAATAAAATGAATTCATTTCTATTAGACATTAACATGTTAGAATGTCTCTATTCATTTCTATAATTTTTCAACTTTATACCAAGGTAAAAAGTTATAGAACTGTTAATCCATTGAATCCTGAAACTTGACATCACACCAGCCAATGAACTCTTCCTGTTTATTTTAGTAATTTTCCCTATTGTCTGTATAACAACAAATCAGCGAAGAGCAATAAATGGCCAGTACAACAAATGTCCAATAAAAGTTCTTAAGGGTATGTTACTGCACTTCCATATTAATCTTGTTCATATTCATTTTGAAAGAATTGAGGAACTCTCTAATGTAAAGGAGAAAAATTGATGGAACTGCTAGGTAACCTTGACATATTTGGGAAGGATATTAGAATAATCCAGTAGTTATATTAGGAGTAAACTGTTTGCATACAAATAGAAAATGACTTCAGTAAATATACAAAAATAGAAAGGGCTGTAACATAAGGATGTTTTGCTTCAACAGACTTATTCAACCCATGCAGCAAGGTGATTCTGAGAGAATTAGAAGTCCTACCAGGATTTATTATTGATAGCTACAATCTTAACAGCATAAGATATGCAGATGACACAGTGTTGATAGCAGACACAGAACAGAAACTACAAGAACTCCTACAGAAGGTAGTGAATGGAAGCAAGAAGAAAGGATTAGACATTAATTGCAAGAAGACAGAATGTATGGTTGTCAGCAAAAGGAACAGTCCAACATACAAAATGTCAAAATCATGCAAGTACAAAAATTTAAATATCTCAAAAGTGTTTTAACAGAGGATGGAAAATGTGACACTGAAATCCAAAGGCACAAAGTATTAAAAAACAGAAAAAATTCATCAGAAACAAAGAAAAAAGTAATGAACTGTTATGTAATATTGGTACTTCTATACAGCAGTGAATGCTGGACCATCTCCTTACAGATGAAGAAGAGATTTGAAGCAACACAAATGTGGTTCTACTGGAGGATGTTAAGAATACCATGGACTGAACATGTGAGCAGATTTTAGAGAAAATGGAAATAAAATGGACACTTATGCTTAACATCAGAAAGAAACAATTAAAATTTCTAGGACACATAATGAAGAAAAAGGGCTTGGAAAATCTGATACTCACAGGACATACTGAAGACAAAAGGGATAGAGGAAAACAATGCTTAACCTACCTAACAAGCTTGAGTAAATGGATGGTAGAGCAAGGTTTTGGGGAGATAACAAATGGACCAAATTTATTAAGAGCTACAAAAAGAGGAAATTGTGGAGAGCCATGTTCGCCTATCTCCTGAATGGACATAGAAGAGAAATATCTGCTCTTAAAGGATGAGTGTGTCTATTGTCGAGTTTAAGTGAAAATGGAAACATAAAGGACACTTATATTTAACAACAGGAAGAGAGAGTTAAAATTTCTAGGGCACATAATGAGGAAAGAAGGCTTGGGAAATCTGATACTCAGAGGACATACTGAAGACAAAAGGGACAGAGGAAAACAATGCATAAACTACTTGAGCTTCCAAGCTTGAGTAAATGGATGGTAGAACAGGGTTTAAGAGAGATAACAAAAAGATAAAATTTACTAAGTTACAAAAGACAGGAAACCGTGTAGGGCCATGATCAAGCATGTCCCAAAGCAACATGGCACATAGAAGAAAAGGAAGGCATGATTATGAATAATTTTCAACCTGCCTACTGTGATTAAATTTCAAATAATACTTCAATGAAATGCAGTTTTACATGTACTGCTGCTTTCATTTTCCTCTTGTATTTTTACAGCAAATTGACCCCTTCACCAATTATTTTGGGAAAAACGTTGCATTTTCAGATGAATTTTTTTATTTGTTTTAATATAGTAACTAAGAAACTGGGGCACCTTGAAGTACCCAAGCAGTGACTAACAACTCTACAGATGTTTGAGTTGACAATTGGACTCGTTTCAAGTTCAGAAGGAATAAAAAGAATCATGATTGATGTATAAACACATCTGTAGGTGGTTTTTGAACATTATGTTTTGGATGCGAAAAAAGACGCTTTCAGTAAAAACATATATACACATCTATGCCAGGAAAGGGGTTCAGTCAGAAAAAGCATTTTTTTAATGGAAATATTTTTGTCAAAATCAGACATTATGTTAGGTCACGAATAATTTGGGGCTTTAAATAAACTAACATGTAGACTATCAAATCCTACAAAAAATAATATCAGAAAAATAAGCAAACAAATAGTAGAAAATATATGTACGAAACTAAGAAAAATACTGAATATAAACCAATGGAAAAATACAAAAGAAACTATTAATTGGTTCAACAGTATTACAAACAAAAACAATTGCTCAATTAGATATAAAATACTTTTATCCATCTATTACAAAATATATATTAAATAAAGCATTAAATTTAGTAAAACAACTGCGGGAAAAATTTTGCCTTGTCAGTCATGTATTGAAAGATACATGATCGCCTCAGCGTGTATCACGCATGGCACATAACTGACTGACTGACATTCATCCTAAGTATGTGACCAAAAGCATCTGATCTATATTTTAATTACAAAGGATTCAATTACCATTATGTCACATTTTAACAAAATCTCATATTTTGAGGCTTGTTTATCCATTTCAAGCTACAGATATGACATAAACAGTACCTGAGGAAAGAATTTAATTTTTACATATGTTTACAGTATAACAGTGGTTCCAAAACATTTTTTCTCTAGGTCACATTTTCAGAATGAAAATTTGCTTATGCCTCACCAAATTTTATGTGATAAAAAGTACATTTAAAAAAAAACAAAAAAAAAACAGACATGGCTAAAGGGAGATAACCTTGAATTTGAAGCCAGTACATTATCATTGATAATTCTCTCTTCCAATTTATGGAGCCTAGTTAATATATTCTTGATATAATGCAAAAATATCACAAAGATAAAATTGTTCAATAATTATTTATAACTATTTATACTGGGACTCATACATGCAATTACAAGTAATCCATAATAATCTTTTAAATTTTTAAATCATATTTATTTTTGGCATATGAATTTTTTGAAACTGCTTCTAAATCTTTGATTGTCTTTCAACCATTCCGCCTCACCTGCTGCACTCTCTGGGAACCACTGCAATATAAAGTCCAGAACTCAGGCTGTCAATGCAACTGACTTATGAACAACAATTTTAACATCAAATGATACAATTCACATCTTACTTTCTTGCCTTATTTTCTCTGATTATTTCTCACTCTTTTTCTTATTCTATCTTAAATTCTTTCTTACCACTATTTATTTTTGTTTCTTTGTTCATTTCCTTTTCCTACTCTTTCTATTTTCCCTCAGTCTGTCTCTTTCTACCCTAAAGTCTCTCTCTTTTACTTCATCTTTCTCAACTCTGTTTATCATTGTTTTATTATTGTTGTCATCTCTCCCCCTCTCTCTCTCTCTCTCTCCCTCTCTCTCTCTCTCTCTCTCTCTCTCTCACCTTGATTTCTTCTCTTTATATTTCTTCTTATGATCCTCAATGATTATATATTTTGATGTCAATTCTTCTTTTGTATCACGGTATCTTGAATCAGCACGCTTTTTCTCACGAGCCTTCTGATCTCTTTCTTCTGTCTAAAAAAATTTTTTAAAAAATAAGATTCTTAATTTAAATCCTCTCCATACATAAGAGAAATAGATAAATATTTTATGTATGAGAATAGATAATACAATAAATATTTTAAGAGAAATAGATAAATATTTTTCAGTAAAAAAAAAAAAAAATTGGAGTTGAGCAATAGACATTTCAACCAGATATAATAATTTTTTTAACTTCCTCTTACTATTTGTTAGAAATATAGAAAAGAATACTGAACTGTTATTTGATATCAGTCCTCCTATATATAATGAATACTGGATAATCTCTTCACAAATGAAGAAGAGACTTGAAGCAACACTTGATGTTTCTAATGCACATAATGAGGGAAAAGGGCCTGGAAAATTTGATACTCACAGGACAGGTTGAAGGCAAGAGGAATAATGGAAACAATGCATAGCTTACCCAGTGAGCTTGAGTAAATGGATGGTGGAACAGGGTGTGGGAGAAATAACAGAAAATTTATTAAAAGCTATGAAAGACAGGAAATTGTGTTGTCAACAAAAAGAACCCACTGTACTGATAACAGATACAGAAAGGAAACTACGAGAAATCCAACAGAACGTAGTGAAGAAAAGCAAGAATAAAGGATTAAACAGACAGAATGTATAATTGTTAAAAAAAGCAACAGCTAAAATTACAAATTGGAAATACCAAAATCAAAATCCAGGAGCACACTGGGATAGCCAAAGATGTCTTCCAAAAGCTAATCAAAGTATTAAGAAACAGAAAAGGAAATAGTAATGAACTGTTATGTAAGATCAGTCTTCCTATATGGCAGTGAATACTAGACAATATCCTTACAGATGAAGAAGAAACTTCAAGCAATAGAAATGTGGTTCGATATTCTTTGATAAGAATACTATAGACTGAACATGTGAGAAGGGATGAAATTTTAGAGAAATTGGAAACAAAAAGGAAACTTATACTTAACATCAGGAAGAGAGAGCTAACATTTCTATGACACATAATGAGGAAAGAGGGCTTGGAGAACCTGATACTCATAGGAGAGATTGAAAACAAGAGGAAAACAATGCATAACATACTTAGTGAGAACTTGACTAAATAGATGGCCAAAGAAAGTTTAGGAGAGAGGATAAAAAACAAACTGTAACAGACATAATGAATCAGAACTGTGGTCGAATGGCAGAAATAGTGAACAGGACTTACCTTATTCCTGATGAAAGAGAGTTCATCTTTGTCTGGCATGCAGGATTTCGATTTGAGGGAAGGCAAGTATGACACTCAGTCAAAAGAGACCCTTCTTTTTGCCCCACAAGAAATTAGTTCATTAGCAACTGTGTATAATATTAGCGTGGTTGGATGGAATCACAAGGAGAGACATCCGGGTGTGTTAGTGCTCCATTCTGAGCTCCCTGTATGTTTATCATCTGAGTGGGTGATTGGTAATTTCCCATTATAAATAGACCATCACAGAGATGAGACAACGCTCTTAGGGTATATCATACTGCATGTACAGTTGTGACAGGAGGAATGAATGAAAGTGGATACAAGGAAGAGAATGAAGAAAATACTGAGAAACTGGCATTTAGGGGAGAAACTCCCAATCTGAAATTGTGTCCCAAAATAGAGTTGCTAAATTCTTTTGACCACACAAACTTTATTAAGAGCTACAAAGGAGAGGAAATTGTGGAGAGTCATGACTATCAACATGCTGAAGGGACATGGTATATAGAAGAAGAGAACAGATTAAGCACTCCAGATCAGAAATATTAAAAAAAAAATTTATAAATTTTATAAAATGTAAAAGAATGGGTTTGAGTTTTCTATCCAAATTCTTTGGGAATTGATCCCTCTACAGAAGACAAAATGATACCATGTAATTTCTTAAAATGTAAAAAACAAAAATAAAATTTTGAAATTTGTAATCTGAAGTGCTTAATTGATAGTAATATCTGAAAAAAGAGCTCCAGATGACAAATTTCAGTTTTACATTTTAAGAAATTACATGTTATCAGCATATTTTGTTTTGGCTTCCATAGGGGGATCAATTTACAGTAAATTTACATAGCAAACTAGAACACCTTCCCATCATCTTTTATAACATTTTTTTTTTTGATATTCAAGATCTGAAGTGCATGTAAAACTTGGAAATCCACCACAAAAGTTATCCAAAATATATTCCATTTAAGATGCCTTGGAAAATTCTAAAGGAGTCTTGGAGTCAGGAATGGGGAAGTGCTAAGACAAGTAAATTCTATAAATTTTAATGGTGTCAAATAAGTGGATACAGTTCACCAGCTATATCATGCAATTGCATAAAAGCAGGCTATGATATGGCAAACTACAGTTAAAGAAAAACTGAGAAAAAGAAACCCCAACTGGTTCCAGAATCTGCGACTTGCCCATGATTAACCTAAATTGAGGAAAATTGTGGCTCTTTGCTGTCCAATGGCTGGAGTAAGAAGGTAGCAAGGTATATGAAGATTTAGAATATTTTACTAAAGGGCATTGTTGTGTTTTACAATTAGTACTAAGCTTTAAAATTATCAGACAATTTTGCTGATTGAATTTTATTAATATTGCTAATCTGAGAGTAAATAAACAATTAAAAAAATTCGTTATCCAGTAGTACTAATTTGTTATGATGGACCTTATTTGACTCTTGTTTTTTGTTAGGGAAATATACATATATACATCATAACAACAAAATGAGACATTTATACATATATCGAAAGATTTATTATCAGAAATATTTGGTTGTTTAGTAGATATATGAAAGTTCTTGTAATGCAGTTGTTAAATGTTCCTGATATTTGTGTTTGTCTTGTAGAATGAATGAATTATTTTGTAAAGGATAAGTCTATCATTAAAAGGTTATATTCATCATGATAAAGTAATATTTGAGTAGAAATTATCTTTGGTGTTCATTCCACCCAAATCCACATGCTCTTATAGTGAGAGTTTGTTGAAAAGAGAAAGATTCTAAATGTCCCACCAGTAGGGCAGTTTCCTTTTTTTTACAAGGAAATTATGGGTAATTAGTTTCATTTCATTTCTTGTGATTGTGAGATCACTACACAATTTTTAATTCTTGTGATTGCAAGATTACTACAAAGTGATATACTGTACAATGATGAAAAAGATTAAAACATAAAAAACACATTAAAAAAAAAGAATATTTATTTATACAATCAACATAATATCTTTCATTAAGATTAAGTTATATTATAACAGTGGTTAAAATTATAAAAGGTTGCAATTTTTGTTTATAAAATGGTGACTGTGTAATGGGGACTGTGAATCATACCTGATAAAACAGGAACTTGATCAATGAATTGATTGAAAGTACTTCAGTCAGTTAAGGGCCATTTGTGATACACGTGAAGACGATCATGTATCTTTCGATACATGACTGACAAGGCAAATTTTTTTCCCTGTAGGTTGTCATTTCTTTCTGTGGTTGCCATCCAAGGCTATAGAACTCAGTCTGTCCTGCTATTTATCCATAGCTGGGGAGAGTAGAAGAGGATTCATACTTTCCCCAAGGGTATTAGCACATAAGTGAATGCAATGTATTCGACCGGAATTCAAACTCAGCTCTCCGATTACTCAATCTGAGACGCTATCCATTACTCCACTGTACCTCCTCTGTACTTCATCAGACAATGAAAAAATTTCACTTGAGGAGAAATTTCAGTAAACTTATATAATGCCTAAAGGTTAAATCCACTTTAGCAGAAAGGGAGACAATCCTGCTACTACTACTGTTTAGAATGCACCCATTAAGCTGAAGAGTAGGAGTCTGATATTTTCAGAAATTTTTTAGCCAAGGATGGTGAGTTCAATCCTTGATAGGACTACAAGAGTCAACATAGTTAACAATACATTTTTGTCTTTGTACTCAGTTAGTATTTTGTCAATATAAAGTTATTGTTAAGTTGATTTTGTAGCAATTCAAATCAATCCAAATGCAAGGTTCTCTATGTTTCGTTGAAGTGGACATCCCAGTGGTTTATTATTCCAAGTTAGTATTCAGGAAAGTGACATGCAACACAGGATCACACCCCATAATAGTCAACCATTTATTAAAAAGTGTTAAAAAGATTGTTATAAATGAATATATACAAATAAAGCTTGAAAATTTTGGGAAAGATATTAGAATAATCCAGAACTTATACTGGAAGCACACTGCCTGCATACAAATAGAAAATGAATTCAGTAAATACACAAACAATGAAAAGGGTGTAAGACAAGGATGTCTTCTCAGTAAACGTATTTAACATTTACAGCAAGGCAATTCCGATAGAAATGGAAGTCCTACCATGATTTATTATTGGTGGAAATAATCTTAACAATATACAATATGCAGATAACACAACGTTGATGGTACAGAAAGGAAACTATAAGAATTCCTGGGTAGTGAAAGAAAGCAAGAAGAAAGGACTAAACATCAACAGCAAGAAGACAGAATGCATGGTTGTCAACAAAAGGAACAGTCCAAGATGTGAACTATGAATTGGAATTGTTGATATCAAGCAAGTACAAAAATTTAAAGATCTGGAAAGTGTGCTAACAGAGGAGGGGAAAATGTGACACCGAAATCTGAAGGCATATTGGAATAAATAAAGATGCTTTCCAAAAGCTAGGCAAAATGTTAAGAAACAAGAAAAATTTTGTTAGAAACAAAGAAAAGAATATTAAACTGTCATGTAGTATCTGTCCTTCTCTATTGCAGTGAATGTTGAATGATTTCCTCACAGATGAAGAGGAGATTTGAAACAACAGGAATGGGATTCTACAGAAGGATGCTAAGAATACCATGGATTGAACATGTGAATAATAAGGAAGTTTTAGGGAAATTTGAAACGAAAAGGACACTTAGAATCAAAAAGAGATAGCTGAAATTTCTAGGACACATAATGAGGAAAGAATGTCTGGAGAATCTGACACTCACAGGACATATTGAAGGCAAGAATGATAGAAGAAAGCAATGAGTAACCTAAATATACATAAAAGGACAGGTATTAGATAGACTGAAGATAACAACTGATGTTACATTTAAGTTTTTGACGATCATAGGTGGCAGGGAAACAAGAAACAAGAAGAGAATTCCACAGGTGAGAAGTGCGAGAAAAGAAATTATTACAATAGAACTTACAGTTAAATCTAACAATTTCAAAAGTAAATGATGAGATCTAGTTGCCACTTCAGTGGTATGCTTAAATTTATGTGGTCAAGGTACCAAGGGGGAAAGTACAATTGCCATGAAAATATTTATAGAAAAGACAAAGGAAACCACATCACAGAGGTAGGGAAAAAATGAGGCAATAAGAAAAATCATGGAAAAATGAATGGCTTGAATGTGAAATGAAAGGAATTTACCTTTATGGTCGACAGACGTTTCAACTCCTTCAATTCCGTTCGGATATCACTTTGATCATAAAGAAGGTTCTGTTCAGACTCTGCACTGCGTTCCAGCCTTACATGCTCCATTGCAGTTAAAGATTTCTGCAATTTAAACATTTCATCATCAAATCCACAAGAAAAAAAAGTCTTCACCTAAGATTTTGCAATGGGATTTTGGAATTAATTTCCTCATCTTTATTGCTTTTTTTTATTTTTTTAAATATTACTACAATAGTATCTTTTGCCTTTTCTCAACCAAACTTTGCCTTGTCAATTGCTTTGGCTTTTTGCTCTTTTGCACATGACAAAGTTTTTTTTTTCTTACCATTTTAGTTACATACCATAATTCAAGAATATCTGAATATATAACAGACAACAAGCCTATATTAAACCAAGCATTGAACATTACCAAATATATGGTGGAAAGCATTTGATACATTTAAATCACGCACACACGCATACACGCACGCATGAGAAATCATATTATAGAAAAATATGCACTCTCCAGCAGGAATCGAATCTGGGTGCCCCTGGACAGAGGGAACATGCTTTAACTGACTTGGCCACAACAAAGCTTGTCCAATCAAGCAAGGTCTGAACAGTGCTTTGAGTGAAATCCTTTTCATCATAGATTCCTCAAAAATTTCATATCTGCTCCATTTCGTATCCAAATGTAAACAAAGCAATTTTCTAAAGATGGAATGGATTTTTATTTATTAATCAGACAAATTTTTATCACATTAAACACTATTTTTAGTGGATACTCATATTTGAGTAGATGCTCCATTTATTTATTAAACAGTATATTTATTGGCCTGAATATTTGAGAAATCATATTAAAGAAAAATATGCGTTCTCCAGCAGCCAATGTCCTCCAACCAGATGGTTCATCTTAGTCACAAACATATGGCTGTTGTAGTCCATCTGAGGAAGCCTTTAACCCTGGCCAGTGACCTGTATCAAGAAGGTCCTTCACCCTGTGGTGCCATGGTAACATCACCCCTTCATGCAAGTTTAGCCCACTAGTTGAAACAGTTCACCAAAGCATGGCCACTTGGATCATATTACATTAGAGATTTAGGATATGGTTGAGGATCAGTAGTTAGGAAGATACATTCATCATTACAATGGATTCACCAAAAGGGAAATTACTGACGACTCAACACAATAATAATAGTAAGGACTTTTTTTAAAAAATGCCATCATAGTAAACTAGTTATGCAATAATGGATATACATTATGAAGCCAGTCTTGTAAATTGTTTTAGAAGGAACATTACCTGACTTTCCAAATTCCTTGATATCATCTCATTTTCTGCAAGTAGGTCATTTTTCCTTTGCTGCAAGTCCTCATCCACACCTGGCATGGATTCTTTCTGAAGAATAATCACCAAAAAAATAAAGCAATTACCGTATCTAACAGCATATAAGGAGCACTTTTTTTTACTAAAAGTATATTTTAAAATTCCCCTGCTTCTTATATGTTCATATGTAGGTTTATAATTTGTGATTGTCAGCCGAAATTAGCTACCTGGCAAATCCTATTAGCTTAGACTTAAACATGAAGGAGCAATAGAACAGGTGGATGGCAATGCCTGATCATGACCTTACACTTACCGGAAGAATAAAAACACTCAGCATTGCACAAGTCTGCAAATGAGTGAAGCAAGCTTGGGACAATATTAAACCAGAAATTGTTGTGAAATCTTTTAAAAAGTGTGGCATTAGCAATTTTCACAATGTAATGGAAGATGACGCATTATTTAATGACGATGAGAGTAGTATTGAAAATGAGTATAAGAGTTTTGATAATGAAGATGGCGAATTTTATGGATTTGAAGATGTATAAAATTTTAATGGTAACTGTACTGTTTTGCATAATTGTAATAATTGCTTGACTTTTATTTTGTTTTCTTAACTTAGTACATAATAAAATTTTATAGGCTTGTGTTCTTTTTTCCTATAATTTTCATTTAATTTTAATCATGGTTTGTTTAACCAAAATAATACCACATAAATATAGCCTATGCTGTACCATTTATTAATAATTTTACTAATTTTACTAATTATTAATTTTTTCTTGATTTGAAGTGCGTCTTATACACCTATGCATCAAATACAGTACTTATTCCATTCAACCTGTTTGAAATAATTGTCAATCTAAGATTAATGTGATTATGTCGCTAAAACCCAATTTGTTTTGGCATACCCTGAAACAGCATAACATCATAAGCCATAGTTCATGAGGTCACATCATAAGCCATAGTTCATGAGGTCACATCATAAGCCATAGTTCATGAGGTCACATCATAAGCCATAGTTCATGAGGTCACATCATAAGCCATAGTTCATAAGGTCAGTCCTTATTTTTCAGCCTTGTGCTAGAATAGACTAAAATTTTTTAAAATTTCTATAATTTCTGCAGGTTGATTGGCCCAAATAAATTAGAACTTGCAGATTATTTGGAGGTTGGTGAGGGATTTATGAATATTCAGAATTTAGTGAGCATTTGATGAAAATAATTAAAGGATTCATTTGAAATTGACTGTTTTAAGGCCATGAATAGTAAACATGTAATATCTAAATATTTGCTAGAAATAGTAAATTCTTGTCACCTTTTTTTTTCATAACAGAGCTTACAAAAAGTAAGAAAAAGAAAACAGTAATATTCAAGTTTATCAGGCTAGATAAAGCCAAGATTTTAGTGTTTAGCATTAAATACATTTAGTGTTTAGCATTAAATCTGTTCAATGTTTCATATTAAACATATTTAGTGTTTAGCATTAAACAAATTTAGTGTTTATCATTAAATATATTTATTGCTTACCATTAAATATATACTATGTAATGGTAGAGATTAAAAACAGTTAAATTTTGTGCTATTTTAAATTTAATTTTATTACTTATGAACTTATAAAACTGGCTGTACTAATAAAATATCTCTTGCTTTTGATCTGTAATCTATATAAATCTTAATGAACTTATAAAATGTAACTGGTGGTACCTAAGTAAGAAAATATCTCTGCTTTTGATCTGTAATATATATATAAATTTTAATGAACTTATTATAAAATTTAACTGGTGGTTCCTTGGTAATAAAATATCTTTGTTTTTGATCTATATAAATAAATCTCACTGCTCAAAATCCAGTGGACATTTTGCCAAACATCATAATAATTTTATGTAAAGAATTTTCTGAAATTGTTAACAGATCAAATAAAAAAGTATGATTTTTTTTCAGTAATCTTAAGGATAATATAATTCAAAGAGACCAACCCATCAAGCATGCATTGAAAGCAGTGAATTGCATCGTTGGATATTACATGACAGTGATTTTTGCCAGACAGTTTACATTTGGCATTTGTATGCTAAGAAGTTATACTTTATTCATTCATTGTGAATATTTGCAGTTTTGTATTTTTATAAAAAGGTTCTTTTTTTTCCATTCAATTACCCATCATAAAAGAAAATGTAGGCTTATGACCACATCACATGGAAATGCCAGTTCCTGTATGATCAGCAACGTTAAGCAACATCAAACCTGGTCATTACCTAGATGGGTGACTGCTTGGGAATACCAGGTACTATAAGTTTAGATGTACAGGTGGTGAAATGGATAATGGCTTGGAATTGTTAATTGGAGAGCTGAATTCCAATTCCAGTTGGGTTTGTTATATTCACATATATATGCAAAAATAACCTTGGAAAAATATGAATTCACCTCTTCTCCTCCCAGCTATGGGTTAATTAGTAAGATTTGTATCACTAAAACCATTATTATCTCAAAAACAAAACAAAAAAGATTTTGGCATTAAATAACCCAGCAAAATAACCAACAAAAGAAAATGAGCCAAAAAACAGAAATTAATAAATATGAATTCAATAAACTTTCTTTTTAATTGTTTCATCCCAAAGGCACAGGGAAGCTACGTTATGGCAGTGGAAAAGTGACTGATGCTGAGATGCCAGATCAAAGCCAATGACATTGCAGATTCTTCTTTATATAGGAAAGATAAAAAAATAGGAAAGATAAAAAAATAAAATTATAAACCAATTTTCATTTAATGACTAAAAATCATGAAGATATCAAATAACATCTGTAAATTGGAAGTGGTGCCTCAGCACAGGGTAATGTTTGGCAAGTTTGTCAGGTATATCAATATTATAAACAGTCAGGTTAATCTTCCCCAGGTGATCCCTATTTGTTGCCTTTTGTCAAAATTATACTAAACTTCGAAAAGCGCAACGTACACATAAGTGTGTAATTGATGAGGGCATTTATTTTTTTTTGCTTGGGGTGGGGGGAGAAATTTTCGAAACTTCCTTAAGCTTATTCAAACCAACTTATTAATTCTGCCAATTTTACACATTAGCTGGTCCATGTTTTTATTTGTATATTTTTATGATTGCATTGTTTAAAAAATAGTTTTTGATTGTTCTTTTTTTATTCATTACAGAATTACTATGGAATGACCTGACATTATTTGTTTACCTGACATTGTTCTTTTTTATTCATTACAGAATTAATATGAAATGACCTGACACTAAATTTGGACATTATTTGTTAATCTATGTGAGCTATCTCCCCTGAAAACTCTCCCTGCCGGGTAAAGGACTTCCGGTCGGAAGTCGGGCGGACCATGTTTGTTCATACTGTGTAGTGAGTGAGGAGTCGAATAAAATATTCTCTCCGTATCCGTTGTCGAAGTCCGTCATTCACATGTTTATATTTTTTCTTTATGCACCTTGACAGTCCTTTATTTTTATACTAACATTGGTACCAGAGCGTAGTTATGGCTTCAAAGCACATTTCACCGCCCGTCTTAGTTAAAGACAAGTACAGCACATGGAAAAAAGAAATGCAAATCTGGGAAATGGCCACGTCGCTTGACAAAACAAAACGCGCCCCATAGTATTTCTTTCACTGGAAGGAAAACCCAGAGAAGCTGTATTGGAATTGGATGTTGCGGCACTTAATTCTGAGGATGGAATGGCTAAACTGTATGAAAAATTGGACACGCTTTTTTTTGGAAGATATAAACCAGTCGGCCTTTCTGGCCTACGAGACTTTCGAAGGATACCGGAGACAGCCTGAAACATCAGTGGAAGACTTTCTCATCAACTTCGGCCGACACGTTGCTAAGTTGAAAGATTTCAACATCATCCTGCCTGAACCGGTACTTGCATTCAGGGCATTAAAGAGTGCTTCCTCAACCCTGAAAATGAAAGACTAGTCAAGGCGACTGTCGGCGAACTGACACTCTCTTCCATGTCGGCACAATTAAAGAAGATTATGCATAGACAGCCGTCTGAAGCTTCATCTATGAACTCTACACCCGTAGTGGTCAAGAAGGAAGATGTTATTGCCTTTACTGAAAATAAAAACGAACCTAGCGAGGTATGCTATGGTCGCTCTTCCCACCGCCGTGATTCGCATTTTAATAGTCGGCGAGGAAAAACATACCACGGTGGAAAACGACATAGCAACAACAACAACAAAAACACGCTCCACTGACAAAACAAAATAAACCCGCTAGGACCCAAAGGCAACCCCACTGTGTGCTTTAAATGTGGCTGCAATTTCACTGGTCTTACGACTGCCCTTATGTCGACGATACCGGGACAAACATGAGGATGACGAACACGAAAGTTATCTGTATCTGGCTAACATTGTGCTGATGAGTCAGCAAAAACGCGAGGCAAATGGCAACACGCTTTTGGGTGAGACACTTGGTTCCGCTTGTCCTAGATAGTGGTGCATCTGGCACCGTTTGTGGAAAAAAATGGTATGAATGTTTTCTCGAAACATTAACTGATGCACAGAAAAAAATAATTATGAGGAAAGGAGTGAGAACTTTTAAGTTCGGGGTTGAAACAAGCTGGACTCTCTCTACAATGTGACTCTACCATGTGTCATCGCAGACATTGACGTCAATATTGTTACCGATGTTGTGGATTCTGACATTTCCACTTCTCTTAAGCAAAGATGCAATGAAAAGAGCTGGAACCTGTCTCAATTTTGAACATGACAGTGTGACGATGTTTAAAAAAGAAAATTCCATTGAGATGCACATCGTCTGGTCATTATCACATCCCTATCACCAGACCCCTACCAGATAGAGGTAAGCTCAAACACATTCTTCTTGTTAAAGAAATCTCCTCTAAAACAAATCAGAAAAAGTGAAAGTTGCAACCAAAATTACATAGACAATTTAGTCATCCCAGTAGTAAGAAATTATGTGATTTAGTTAGAAATGCTGGAATAAGAGATCCTGAATTTATGAAAATCTTACAAAGCACTTCCAAATTCCTGTGAAGTGTGTATTCGCTATAAAAAAAAACGAACCTAGACCTATTGTTGGATTCCCATTAGGATCTTATTTTAATGAAACTGTTGCTATGGATATTAAAGAGATTAATGGTAACAAGGTACTGCACTTGATTGACCATGCTACCAGATACAGTGTCGGCGTTAGGATTCCAAGTAAAGAAAGATCGGACATCATCAGTGCTATATTTAAACACTGGATAGCGTATTTTGGGACTCCTGGATCTATCTTAACTGATAATGGTAGGGAATTTGATAACAAATCATTCCGTGACATGGCACAGAATTTAAATATCGTTATGCGTACCACTGCTGCTGAAAGTCCATGGAGTAATGGCTTAAATGAACGACATAAATGGGATATTGGGAGAAATGGTCAAAAAGACTGTAGAGGACACAAATTGTAGTTTTGAGATAGCACTAGCATGGGCTATAAGTGCAAAGAATACACTTCACAGTGCTCACGGATTCAGCCCCAATCAGCTTGTTTTTGGTAGAATCCCAATCTGCCCTCCTTTTGAATGATAAACTCCCTGCATTAGAAGGTGTCTCTACCAGTGAGATTGTTGCCAGTAACCTCAATGCCATGCATGCAGCTAGAAAACAATTTATTATGTGTGAGTCTTCGGAAAAATTAAGACGTGCACTTCGTCATCAAGTTAGGACTAGTACAACACAATCCTACAAAAATGGTGATGTTGTTTTCTATAAGAGAAATTTCTGTGATAGATGGCTCGGTCCAGGAACTGTCATAGGGTGGGAGCACAAGCAGGTACTTGTTAAACATGGGGGCACATATGTAAGAGTGCACCCATGTCGCCTCGTGTCTCACCCAGAAACATATCAAAGTTCCTCTGAAAGTGAGGCTATAAGTGAATCCACCACTTCACAAAGTGAGCCTGAAGGATCTTCAAACTTATCAATGTCTGACGAAAATGATGTTGCTGAAGAACCAGGAACTCTGAATGATCATGTTGCACAACATCAGACTGTGAGAGAGGCACACGTACTACCAAAGCAAAATCCAATTCACAAAACAATTACGCTTCCCAAGCCAGGACAATCCATTAAATGCAAACTTGCCAATGATGATGATTCGAATGGCGAACATTGAACGTCATAAGTAGGGCAGGCAAAGCTACAGGTAAAAAACAAGCATTTAATGAATGTGGCTATGGAACAAGAACCCTTCTGGCTAGACTTCAATCATGGAGTATTGGAATGGAAAGAAAATGAAGCCAGACCAATAAATAAGGATGAAGCTACCTCTAGTGATGAGGAAAACATTATGATTTCTTCTTCTAATCACGACCTGAAATGGCAAGAGAAAACGAACTCCAAAGCTGGGTTGAAAATAAAGTTTACACCCCAAGTGCCTGACCAAGGCCAATGCAAAATATCCACAAGATGGGTTTATACTAATAAAAATGTCAATGGCAAACAGATCTATAAAGCTAGACTTGTGGCGAGAGGCTTTCAGGAAAGGGATGCGGGCAATATAAGAAATGATTCTCCAACATGCTCTAAAGAAAGTCTACGTATAGCCTTGGCTATAATGGCATCTAACCATTGGGTGTGCAAGTCAAGGGACATAAAAACAGCATTTTTACAGAGCAAAGAGTTGGACCGATTGATCTATTTGCATCCTCCCAAAGAAGCCAAGGTACCTCCAGGATATATTTGGAAACTCTCCAAATGTGTATATGGTTTGACTGATGCATCAAGGTCCTGGTACCTGACACTCAAAGAGGAATTGTTGAAGTCAGGAGCAGTGGTTTCAAAATATGATCAAGCCATATTTACATGGAACTTTGGAAACAAACTGCATGGTATTATAACTACTCATGTTGATGATTTTTGCTTTGCAGGCTCGGAGATTTTTCAAAGCAGAGTCATGGACAGGATTCGTCACTTGTTTAGGATCAAATCTGAGGAAGTTGCTGAGTTCCAGTATATAGGATTAAGCATAAAGAAAACTGGGAATGATGTTAAACTTGGACAGGACGAATATGTCAAAAAGCTAAGGTGTATCCCACTAGAACCAGGCAGAAATTTGAAAGATGCAATATCTTCAACAGAGGTTACTGAAACCAGGCAACTGATCGGACAACTTAATTGGTTAGCCACCCAAACCAGACCCGATCTTAGTTATGATGTCAGTGAGTTAAGCTCGATACTAAAACAAGAAAATGTAGAATGTTTAAAACAGGCTAACAGGGTGGTAAAAAAAGCAAAAAAAGAAATCTCATATAGATATTCCAGACTTAGGGAACCTTGAGCACCTAAAATTGTTGCATACAGTGATGCTTCTTTTGGCAATTTAACAGATGGAGGTTCACAGGGAGGCTATATACTTTTTTTAGTTGGAAGCAATGACAAGTATATGCCCATTGCCTGGCAGTCTAAGCGTATTAGAAGAGTTGTCAAAAGTACTTTAGCTGCTGAAACTTTAGCCATGGTTGACATGGCAGAAGCCTGTATTTTTTTATCGAAAACTTTTGTTAGAAATACTACAATTGAACGATGATACTAACAACATTAAGATCTTCTGCAAAACAGACAATTCCTGTCTCTATGATTCTGTACATTCCTCAACCCAAATTTTGGATAAGAGACTTTGCATAGAGATGGCTATTTTGAGAGAAATGATTGACAGAAAGGAAATTGCAGAGATCTCTTGGATATCAACTGATGTACAAATTGCTGACTCCTTGACAAAGAAAGGAGTGCCATCATTCAAGATCCTTGGGTTCATATCCGAACCAAAGGAATCATCTGTATAATGTAAATACCCGGCCCCTTTTTTTTTCTTTTGCAGATTAGATGATTCCAAACTGAAAAGAAGAGAAAAGAGGGGAAGAACTGTTAATCTATGTGAGCTATCTCCCCTGAAAACTCTCCCTGCCGGGTAAAGGACTTCCGGTCGGAAGTCGGGGAGGCGGCCATGTTTGTTCATACTGTGTAGTGAGTGAGGAGTCGAATAAAATATTCTCTCCATATCCGTTGTCGAAGTCCGTCATTCACATGTTTATATTTTTCTTTATGCACCTTGACAGTCCTTTATTTTTATACTAACATTATTAATGGAATGATCTGCCATCATTTTATTCCATTAAGATCTCTAAAATCATACCTTGATTCAAAATGATTTCCAATCCCTTGATACAAAATTGTTTTTAATGGAGAAGTTGTATTTGTCTTTTGTCTCTTGTAAGAAGAGACTCAAGGCAATGGAGATGTGGTTCTACAGAAGGATGCTAAGGATATCATGGAAAGAGTGTGTGAGCAACGATGAAGTCTTAGAGAGGATACAAAGAAGGAAGAGGCTTATACTTAACATCAGGAAGAGGCAGCTGAAGTTTCTGGGGCAAATAATGAGGAAGGAGGGCCTGAAGAATCTGATGCTCATGGGGCGATTAGAGGGAAAGAGAGACAAAGGAAAACAATGCATGACATACCTAGCGGGCTTGAGCAAGTGGATGACACAACATAGTCAGGGGGAGATGGCAGAGGGAAGGAACTTGTTAAAATCTGCAAGGGATAGAGGGAGGTGGAGAGCCATGATCACCTATGTCCTGAAAGGACATGGCACATATAAAGAAAGAAGTGTAGTCCCCTTAAGCAGCAGTAGCAGCCACGTAAATAAATAAATCCTGTATCAGCATTGAATATAAAAACATGTGAACCCTAAAGTAACTCTCTTCTTCCATATTTTTCCCTCTTTCAAATGTGTGGCATGAACTTTCCACACAAAAGCTCACTCACAGTAAGTCACACTGTAACATATTCAAGAACATTTCGTTATGTATACAATTTACTTCTAACAAAAGAAACTCTTGTTTTAAACTTTACTTTTGTTATTTTTGTTTTAATAAATGTTAATCTTTGCATTGCAAATCAATTGGTCAGTTATTTTTGTGCATGTAATCTTTACACCATCATTATTACTTGTGTTATAAAATAATATTACCATAAGAACTCTTACATATTTAATTATTAAAGTAGCTAAACAAGTTTCACAGACAGTTTCTAAACTGGAACTTACCTGCACATTCATTTTGTCATAAATTGTCTTGATCTGATTGAAATTATCAGCAGCAACCTTTAATTGTAGTTCAGACTTTTTCTGTATTCTTGTATCCATCTCTTTTTCACGTGATTTTAATGTGAACATCTCATAAATCTTCTTCTTTTCAACAAGAGCCTGACAGAGAGAAATATCCAACTCATCCCTGAAATTGAGGATAAAGGATAACTAAGTATCATCATCAATAATGCGCCAAAAAGCAAAATCATTTTGCAGTTTACTGAATTAATCAATACTATACACGCAAGAAAACCTATGATGTTATTATGGCCACTGATCGTGTGTCAGTTGTTTTAGTCAAATCAAAATGACATTTACTTGTGTGGATTTCTTCATTTTCTCTGTGGATATTTAAAATACATTTGACCAAACTCTTATGATAAACTGCCCTTGATTGTATAAAGGCACGGCAATTGAACCTGATGTACTATACACCAAAGGCAAAATAGTTAAGACATATTCTTTCAACTTAGAAAGCTTCCAGCAAAGACTACTTAATAAAATCACTTAGAATATAATACTAGTTCTGTTCCAAAACAGTTGCTACATTTACTGTATGAAAAATGTACATAAATGTAACAATTATTATGGGACAGAAGTTGTATTATTTTAATTACAAACTAAAAAAAAACTATTCAATAAGCAATTATATAAACATCTTTTGAAAACATCTTTACATTCAGTTACATGCTAATACCCTTGGGAAAGGTATGAATTCTCTTCTTCTCCCCTCAGCTATGGGTAAATAGCAGGACAGACAGGAAATTATAGCCTTGGATGGCAACTGGTCTACCTCAGAAAGAAATGGCAACCTAATGTGGGAAAAAATCTGCCTCGTCAGTCACGTATCGTAAGATACATGATTGCCTAAGCATGTATCATGCATGGCACATAACTGAAGAATGTGAAAATGATAAAGAATAATAAAAAGATTTTATCTGCTTTCCTTCCTTTTGCGACTGCAATACAAAAGAAAAATAAAGAACCAATAATCAAAGTATCAAATCACTGATCATTAAAAACCATCTTTGATAGTCAGGAGATGTAGCAAGAATGGAAAAGTCAATTCTTATTCAGTGAGCTCACTTCCAGGAAAAGACGATAGGGTTGCTCTCTTTTAAGATACAAGGACCAACTCAAAATAACACTGAAAGCCACTGGACTTGAGCCTAAATTGCTTGAGACACATGCACAAGACTGTAACAACTGGCAATGTTCCATAACCATTGGAACATAAAAATTTCAAAGCCACCAGAAGAGAAAAGGGAGAGAAGTCAAACAACAAGTGAGAAAGGTTCAGCAACAACAACTTCATCCTCTATCAACATTACTATGCAATCAATGCCATTGACTCTTAGATGCAAGAATTGATTTATTTGTCATCAATGCCATCATCATAAAGGAAGTGATCAGAAAAGAAGAAATTAAATTCTTGAATATGAGATAAAGCCAATGCCACCATCAACGGCAACAAAAAATAATAATACATTCAGTTGAATTTGTCAGGTCAAACATTATGTGAACAAAATACCATTGTAATACATAACAATAATTTAGTAAAAAGCTAGATTTCTATCGTATATGATCTGCTGAACTAGTTCGTCGAAAGATCTTACACCATATATATAAAGCAATCTTTAGATAAGACAAAGCAAAAAATATACCAAATTTTCATGAATTTATCCTATACCTGTAGTCTAAGATGACTGCTTATTGATTATATAAAGATGATGTTACTGGAAATGCTGTTACTTACTGTATCGTCAGTAATTCAAAACAAAATAACAAAATCAATTCTATATCATATTTTTCCTACATGTCTTCTTTCATCCCATGATGTCTTGCAAATACTGATTCTCCTTCTTCCTCTTCTTTTCCTATATCTAAAGAGTTACAAACAACTTGGTGTACTAATGGCCATTTACTTATACTTCATCAACAATCACAAAATACTGTTAATAACAGTACAATAATGTATTTTTAATGAGAAATGAATATTATGTCATCCTAAATGTTATTACTGACATAATTAACACTGCCATAATGATTACTGAAAATTTAGCAAAAGATAAAGTTTGCTGTGAATGCAATAATAACTCAATGTTTACATTTTCTCAGCTGAGCTTGCATAGATACAAGTTGATTTCATTGATATGAAATTATCCTCCGAACAGGAAATTTATTATGAAGTTATGCCAGTAATATATAAGGTAGAAATGGTTTTATTACTTATATTATCAGTTTATTTGATAATGTGAATCTTTTCATGTACATTATTGGTTATCACACTGAGGCTGTGGTTAACCTACTGACAAACGTCACTCAAAATTTTAAGGGTTCTTTTTTAGAATTGTAGTATAAGATAACCCCTAATTTTTAAGGGTGATTTTGGGGATTTAAAGATTGCCTTATATGGGGAAATATATGGCAGGCTGCTGTATCAATCTTTCTTGTAGTGAGCATTTACTTGTTTACTATGAAGAAAAAAAACATGACTGTTAGTCAAGTTTGAATGCCCTACTATAACTAAAGGAAATTATACAAACATTCTCACCATCAACCAGGACCTATAAAAAGATCCTAAGCTGTATATAGTTCCAGGCTAGAACTGTTCTGATTTCAAATCTGGTCAAAAAATCAAATTGCAAAAATATAATATCAATTTTATCTTGTATCCAGTAGAACTAAAAATTTAAATCAAGTTTTTGCTGTGAAGACTGCCCTTAAAAAAAGAAAAAAAAAAAAGCCTGACCATCAACTACATCCTGAACTTTAAAATATGTCTAAATCCCAGAGTCAGATCATAAACAGCTTTTCACCTCCTTTATATAAATCAAGACAGAAAAGACATATTCAAGATGTCTGCTGTCAATACCACATTGAACTTGAAGAGAAAGGAGTTAAATTGATTCCATTTGATGGACTAACTTTCTTTACTCAGTGTTTTTCCTCTAGAAATAGTATGTAACCAGGTTATAAATTTTTGACAGTTTTTTTTTCTGAAACATAAATCTTGTATAACAAAGTGATGAACATTTCCTTGAAAATAAAAAATGGTCCTAATTTCTCCCAATTTGAAAAAAAGATCATCCCAAAATGAATCTTAAACTTAAAATTACTGCTCATATACAGTCGCACTCTATTAACAAACTGTTTGTTCTTGAATTATAAAATGTATGGAATGTAGTAAAGATGATTGTTATTAATACAACCCACATTAACTCTGGGGAAAAAGGGTGGAGTTGTTGCCAAATTGAAACAAATTTTCTCAGAAAAGGGTAGTGAGAAATTACAATTTATCAGTTGTCAGCAATCACATTTGAGACAAGATTCTCTGTTTGGTGCAGAACCAAGAGATTGATGCTAATACCATTTCTCCAAACATTGTTTGTGCTTTGACTGGTTAAGACTTATGATGAATTAGATTATTGGTCCTTAAACTCAACCATGACCTCAAATGGAATTCTTACATATAATCCATTGTCAAAGATGCAGGAAAAATGGTTGGCTCCCTGAATCACTCCAATAAGTACCTGACACTTATGCTATCCCCTACCTTTATAAAAGCCAGATCAAGCTGAAAATGTCATATTTGGGCAGGAGCTGCCTGGTCCTCACTTTCCAGTCTTGATAGAGTTCAAAAGAGTCTCCAAGTCCTTTTGGGTTATAAATTATTTTCCACCCTTCAACCTCTCTTTCGCAGAAAGGATGTGGTGAACTTGACACTGCTCTATCGCTACTACCATGAAAAGTGCTCAGATGAACTACATTCATTCGTTTGAACAGGTCTAACCTTCATGACTAGGACACCCCATGCTACTTATATTGTAGCAAACCACACACATTCCCTCCATATTCCATTGGTGAGAATTCAGTTTCACATGAACATCTTCTTTCCCTAAACTAATGCTCTGTAGAACCCACTCCCAAAAGGATGTTTCTCTAATCACTACTGCGACTTATCCCACTTGACTTTTCTAAAAAAAAACTGTCACTAAGAGACACTCCCTAAGCCTATAAATAGGAAATGCTATTCTCACTGATTCTCTCTCCTCTCTACAACTCCACATATAAGCTGTAGTCACACGTTGGGGAAAAAAGTGTCCCCCCCCACTGGAACACATTCACTTTCAATGTCTTACTTTTCTTGCATGACTAGGGTTAACCATTATCTCCCCCTCCTATGAGTATAAACTGCCTCTTTATAAAGCCCTCTACAACAAGTGACCCCTGAGGTTTGTACAGGGTGAACCTTACTGTAAAAAAAATTAGACAAAGTTTGTTAATGGAACAGAATAGATGCTCGATAAATTAGAATAACGATGCCAAGGTTTTTGTAACATTTAACATGAATGCTTAGATTCTTTGAAGCAAAAGGGCATCTTTCTTTTATTGAATTTCAGAAATCCCAAGCATTATGTGGAATAATTGGCCATGGTTAAGAGTAATTAGCAAAAATGATCAACAAACAGAATTAATAAAGCTTCCAATAAGCAATATCAAACGGAAGAAAAAGAACAGGGCAAAATGATACTAAGTAAACAATTGAGGTGACTGACAATTAAAACTATGTTGCAATTTACCAATTCTGTTTACCCCCTTATATTGGGAATGCTTGTTTACAAAACATTGTAACCAGAACTATTAATTTTTAAATAATTATAACAGAATGCAGTCATGTGTGTTTACAAAAATTACAGTTACATAAAGTTTGTCTTTGCAATTCACCTGAAGATGATCTTGGAGGAGATTGAAAGTACTTGGGTTAACAAAAAATATTATGGTGCCTTCCTTGATAAATTTCAGCTTAACATCAAGAAGATAATTAAATAATATGACTAGATTATTTAATGAAATATGCTTGAATAAAGATTTTTTTTAAAAAAGCAATTCACCCCAAGCAAGGCGGGAGTGCCGCTAGCATGCAAGGAGTTACAGAGGATTGAGAACAAGAGTAAAGAGGCATGTTTGGGGAAAGGATACAGAGAAGGACGGGGAAAAAGCTCAGGGTGTCAGATGTCGATTGATATTACACTTGAATATTTGAAGATTATAGTCATCAGGGAAGCAAGTAAGGGGAAGGGAGTTCCACAGACGGGAAATGCGGGAGAAGAAGCTGTTTGAGTAGAAGAGACAATTACATTTAACCATTTTGACAGTGAAAGGGTGGGACTGAGATACTAGCCTGGTAGCTTGCTTAAATTCATGCAGTCTGGGAACCAGCGAAAGTAGCTCGTCAGAACAGTTGTCATGAAAATATTTGTAGAAGAGACAGAGGGAAGCCAAGGCCCATCTGTGGGAAACTGATTGTAGACTAGATGCTGCCTTAATATATATATATATATATATATATATATATATATATATATATATATCCAGTATATTTACCATACAAGTACAAACGTTAGGCTTATGGCTCCAAAATTATATGGCCTAGTGGATTAAAACTATGTCCCATTTTTTTGGCAATTCCTGGGTCATGTAATGTAGAAAATCATCCTTTTACACTTGAAATGGCTAGATGTAAGTTTTATGTTAATAGTTTCTTCTATCGCACATCTCACTTGTGGAATTCTCTTCTGGCTTATTGCTTTCCAGTAAACTTTGACCTTCAAAAATTTAAAAAGAATGTCGATCGTTATCTTCTGTCTTCTTAATACCTGTTCTTTTATTGTTCTCTCTCTTTAATAGATTTTTTTCTAATATTCTCTAACATTCAATTAACCCTTCTGTCTTAGTGAGTTTATTGCCTTCCTTTGGGTGAAATGATTAGAAATAAAATTTGCATTAATGATAAGTGTATAAAAAGAAAAATTGAGAAATATAAGCAGTCAATTGGTGATACCTCCTGAAGAGAGGACAGGCAGGCCTGTCTACGAAACCCTGGTGTCAGGATGCTGAAGGTAACATCAATCAGATAAATTGATTGTATGCCGTTTTTTACAGGCATTAAATTTTGCCTTTGATTTTTACGCAGAGTGTAAAAAAATCAGTTTTTTTGATTTTTCATGTTCAAGGTTGTAATTTTTTGCAGCCAATTTGTTCTCAAAACTGGCACTGAAGAATTATCTACCAAGCAAAAAAAATTTCATCAAAATTGGATGAAAACTGTGGAAATGTATAAACAACATCCAATAACACACACACACACACACATGTGCGTGCATACATACACACACACATACACACACACACACATACATACACACACACATTTTGAGAAATGATAAATATAGATGTATGCATGACAAAACTAGGTAACACAACAGTAATAAAGCAAATTGTTCACAGAGATTGCAAAAGGGATACAGTCAAGTGACTGTAGCATGCTGATTTCAAGACAAGAAAGAACAAAAATATGGTAGATGAGACTGAGAACTGGTACATTATTATTGGTTAGGAAGAAAGAAGTAATCAGTGTGCAGAAAGGGCATTGAAAATGATGCAAATTGTACCTGCAAAAACAAAGGCAAATTGCAACTTTAATTTTTTCTAAGTAATATACAGTGATGTTCAGTTATTATAACATTTGTGAGCTATTTTTAATTTTAATGCCTCAAAAATGAAACTGTTCTCTTTTAATCATCTGAGAGAACACTTTTTACCTTCCATCATCATGACTGATGCTAAACTCCAAGAGAGAGTAAGTTCTCAAACTAATCTTTTCAGCTGACATGAAGTGGAAAAGTATATTGAATCAATTAAGTCTGCAGCTAAGAAAGTTGTTTCACTATGTCATGCTAAACAATTTTTTCTCATCAAAATCTATCTTATATATTTAAGTTTACTATTCATCCATGCTTTGAATATCACTGCCACACCTGGTTTGGTGCTCCTGCTATATATTTAGAGATTCTGATAAAATCCAAAGAAGAATCTGCAATGTTACTGGTCCTGACCTGGCATCTCAGCTTCAGTCCCTTTCCCAACACCGCAACATAGCCCTTCCTGTGCCTTTTCTATAAATAATTTCATGGTAATTGTCTGATGAATTTTCGTTTATGGTACCTAGACTTTATGAATTTAAGCACAATACTAGATTGGCAACAAGGTTTTATCATTTTACAGTTGAAATGGCTCGATGTAATCATAATTTTCATGCTAACAGCTTCTTCTATCACTCTTCTCCCTTGTGGAACTCTGGCATCTGGCTTCTTGCTTCCCAGTCACCTTTGATCTTCAAAAATGCAATGTCAATCATTATATTCTGTCTTCTTAATGCTTGTTCATTATTGTTCTCTCTCTTTAATAGTAGTTTTTCTCGTATTCTCTAACACTCAGTAGCTTCTTGCTTGCTAGTGACTTTATTGCCTTGCTTGAGGTGAAAAGATTAAAAAAAAGTCGTTATTTGTATTACAAAAAGTGAAATTTACTAAGCATATTTCATTTTTTATAATACAAACAAAATAGAACTAAATTTTTTTAAATATTTTCACCCAAAGCAATAAAACCACTTTTCTTTCTATGTGCCATGTCCTTTCAGAACATGGGCGATCATTCCTCTCCACCTCCCTCTATCCCTTGCAGCTGTCAGCAAGTTCCTTCCCTCTGCCACCTCCCTCAGACCACATTCTGTCATCCACTTGCTTAAGGCCACTAGGTATGTCATGCATTGTTTTCCCTTGTCTCTCTTTCCCTCTGTTCAATCTGTGAGTATGAGATTCTCCAGGACCTCCTTCCTCATTATGTGTCCCAGGAACTTCAGCTGCCACTTCCTGATGTTAAGTATAAACCTCATCGTTGCTCACATGCTCAGTCCATGATATCCTTAGCATCCCTCTGTAGAACCACATCTCTGTCACCTTGAGTCATCTTTGAGGAAATCGTCCAACATTTGCTGCCATAAAGATGTCTTGTAACAGCTCAGTATTCTTTTCTTTGTTACCAAAGAAATCCCACTGTCTTGCAATACTCTGCCCAGCTTTTGGAATGTGTCTTTGGTCATCCCAATACGTCTACGGATCTCAGTGTCGCATTTACTATCCTCTGTCAAAACGCTTCCCAGATATTTAAACATCCGTGTCTGTTTGATTCTAGTGTTCCCAACCTGCAAATCGCATTTCGGGCTCATCCTCTTACTGATGACAATGCATTCTGTCTTCTTATAGTTTATGCTTAGTCTCTTCTTCTCACTCTCTGTTGCTATATTCTGTAGGAGATTTTGTAGTTTCTTTTCCATGCTTTCTATCAGTACTGTGCCATCTGTATATCGTATATTGTTAAAATTGTGGCCGCCAATGCTAAGTCCCAGTAGGGTTTTCCAATTCTCTCAGAATTGCCTCGCTGTATAGGTGAGGTCAGGTGAGAAGACGCATCCTTGCCTTACGCCACGTTCTATTCTTTTATATTTGCTGAACTCATTCTCTATGCGCGTGCATGCTGTTTGCTGCCAGTATAGATTCTTGACTATTCTGATATCTTTCCGGAATATTTCAAAGTTGCTGAGCAGTTCCAGCAGACCCTTGTGGCATACTTTGTCGAAAAACTTTGCAAATAGCCTACACTAGTGTTGCAAAATTGATTTTTTTGATTTAGAGGTGACATTTTCTAAAATAATATTGAAATAAACGATCATTTCTTTGTTTTTAGGTAAAACTTCATTGAATTATGAAACAGGGACATAATGTTGCAAAAAACGTTATAACCCTAATATGTCTATTCAAATAGTTATGTTACTCAGATATTTACTCACCTTTCAGTTTTCAGCTGTGCTACTTTTTCTTTAGTCAGCTGGAATGCCTTCCACTTGTGGTCAATGTTGGCTTCCATTTCAAGCTGTGACAGCAAAGTCCGATCAGTTTGTTCCCTCATCTCATTCTTCTCTTTTTCCAATTGAATTGCTTGTTTCTGCAACTGCATCAAAGATGCCAAGCACTCATCATACTCCTTTTTCACTTGATTCTTCTTCTTTTCCACTTCACTACCAAATAAAATTCAAAGTTAAGCAGAAGAATTCAATCATTATTGATTCAAAAGGGGAAGTCTGGCAAAATGGCATCTGACATGAAAGTGCATATGAAGAATAGTTGTCACACTAAATTACTCCATGTGGTAAAACAATCAGATGTAAATCAATGTAAAAGTACCATATGAATAAAGACAAAATGAAAACTTATCTTAGCCAACACGTTTTGTTCTAGATGGCAAATGTAAGGATTTTATTTTACAATAAGTATTTATACACAAAAGTCATTAGTTTTTCAGAATTTTAAAATTTAAGAACTGTTATGAATAATCAAGAGTGGTCTTCTCTTGTTTTGTTACTCTCCTCTTTGAGAAAGCTATTTCTGTTCACTGGGATTATAAAAGGACACTATATGCGAACCTTGTATTCTCAGTTGAATAAAGCTTTCTTAAAGCCTATACCTGCGTACTTTTGACATTACAAGAACACTCATAAATATACTTCAGGCTAATTGAATGTCAAGGTAATTTATGGGGGATGCTAAGTGATACAATTCAATGTCTAATAAACAAAAATGAGTAAATGTTGATTTTTTTTATAATGTAATTATTATTTATATTATTTAAATTTATGTATTATATATTTTAAATACTAGAAAATTGTGAATTTAACAGTTTTCTTTCAATTTTTTAACATTTTTATAGTCAGGTATGTTGGATTGGGGAAGGAGATATTTGAAAAAATCCAGGGTGTATATTTATCTTTTGGTAAGATTCAATAGCAGCACTCTCAAGAATTCTCCATCTAAGTAAGTTACTTTCTTTTTTAATAAGTGTAGTATTCTTTAGATCAAAGTTGTGGTTGAATTTATTTCTATGTATGACTAATATACTTGATAAATTGTTGTGTATAAGTTTTGCAATATTTTGTTAAAGTTGTTAAGCTTAAATATTTACAGCGTGATAGGGGGATTTCTATGAATATTTCATTATCATAGAACTTGCCATGAGCTTATTCAATCGTGAATTTAAGAATTAAGATTCATCAGAAAATTCAAATAGAAAAACTGTGAAATTTTCATGGGTCTTTCCAGTGAAGGATAAATCTGTATGGTTAAAGATGATACTACAATTAACCAGGTTTCTAAAAACAAAGGGATTTTAATTCAAATTGTATCAAAAGCTTATTCTTTATTTCCAATCTGTACTGTTTACTGATAGCTGTGAATCTGGATACTGGCAATGAAAAACAATTGAAATTAAGATGAAAGAAATACTAATAAAAATTTAATAATGATTGATAAGACTTCATCTAATAAAAATTCAGCATAATATTACTATATATTTACTAATGGATGTAAGCTGATGAAATTCATAGGAAAAACATGTCTGGTGATAGGATTAAAGATAAAAAAAAAAACTCAGTCTTATCCACATAAATTTCAATCATCAAAATAGTATGGGTTTTGCTCCTGATATTAGGTGAATTCAACTTTTATCTATTGCTACAATTTCATTTAATATCAGAAAAATATATTGTTTGAAATGCAAAAAAACTATAAAAAGATGTAAAATATTTTTTGCTCACTTTTTCTTTCTTGAGAGTTTGTCAGTTTCTTTTGCAGTTTGGTTTGGAAGTGAGGAGATTTCTAGGAATTCACTCTGTATTCAAACAACAAATTTCCTTTAGATACAAAATAAACAATAATGGTCTGAAGTGTTTCACTTTAAAATATGGGAATTGAGAAATATTTCTTTAAACAAAATGATTGCCATTGGGCAAAATCTTAAAACGATTGTGATTGGTCAAATAAAAAAAAGATTATGATTGAGAAAAAGCTTTCAAATGTATAGCAAGATAAAAAAAAAAAGAATATTTTTCATTAAATTGATTGTATTAAGTTTCTATAAAAATTCTCAGCACTCTCTTTTTGTGTGAGGGGAGACTTTTACATGCAGCTAAGAAGATCAGTTTACAAAACACAAATACAATAAACACATTTTTAATTCTCTCAGCACTACTATCACTATTACACCCCCACAAACACACACACACACACACCACCACCATATATAAATTAAAACCAAAGAAACATTTTTTTTTTCAGTTTCAAATGCAACAGGACAGGGTTTTTTTTCAACTGACTCATATTTATTGTTAAGACCTAAAAATAAGGGGAGGTAACTGTCCATACCAAAATAAAATTTACCTTAAGAAGGCCTATTTTCTCATTCAATTTTTCATACTCCTTTTCATCTTTTTCATAGAGGCTTTGAATATTTCCATGTTCTTCCTGAAGTTGCTTTAAGTCTTGGCATTTTTGGTAGATTTCTTTTCTCATTTCTTCTGTGATCTTTTGAATATGCTTAATTTTCTCTTCCAGTTCCTGAATTATAAGACAGTAAAGCAACAATAGTCAACATTAATAATTGCAAGTGGAACAAGAAGTGAGTGCCAAGTGAGGCTTGAACCCAATCACTATTAGTTTACATTCTGTACATGATCCACATTTATAGCATCTTCAAATAATTCTACTCACCCTGATATTAAGTAACCTGTTAAGAAAGGAAAAATATTAGAACATAAAAATGAATAGTTATTTCCCTATAAGTATTGAAAGAGTTCCTTCAAAGTGATCAGTGGTTGCGTGAGTGATGTAACAAATAACAGCTCAGAATTTGAAATTAAAAACCAAATTCAAATTCCACTTGGGTTCATTACATTCACTTATGAACAAATACTCTTGGAAAAGATATAAATCTATCTCTTCCTCTCAGCTATGGGTTAAATAATAAAATTTGCATCTGGAAAAAATCATAACTTTTCCCAGGTGTAGTTCTGATTTGGGAATGTATTTTCCTTTTCCAGTGGATGGCAACCATTTTTATTTTCATTGGAAAGGTTTTAATCATTAGTGATAATTTTACACATGAAAATTTCAGTAGCAAATCTATTCTTCAAAGACATGCAGAGAGTGACTCTTTGATTAAGTCGAGAAGCAGTCAGATGATGAAAGACACATTGACCCTGTTTAGACACTTTTCCAAGTTCATGAAGGCAGGACTTCTATTGAAATGTTTTGCTAATTCTCTTGCAGTTTGCTTCAGACGTTCCTCAACTATACTTTTCAGAAGCTCAATAGTGACAGAATGTCGTCGTTCAGATTGAAGAGAACCTTTGAGAGAAAAATTTCTTGATTGAAACTAGCCAGACCATCATTGGCATGTTTGGATACTTAAGTTTAATTTCCATAGAGAGAACAAATATTTCTTGTTGTTTCTGTTTCTGAAGAGACCATTTTGAATTCCTACAGCATATATTGTCTAATATGGGTCAGATCTGAACTCATTTTAAAATGGCAAAAACAATACAAAATTTTATCCATTCTGATATTGGAATCAAGATGACTTCTTTCAAGACCCTTTTTATTTCCTGTCATAATAGTGTATTATTGCACTGATCCAAGGGAGAGAATTCTTGCTTGTAATGGAGAATGGGCATGCATGGTAGATGGAAGTTTCTTCCAGTCCCCAACAAATCGTGTTTCTTATGCTTTATGTCTATCAATAATATTGGTTACTATCCCACATACATACAGCGTTCAAACAAGATATGATATCAGCATGATAATCAAGTGACTGAACGAATATTTACCAGAGGTGAAATATCAAAAACAGTGTTCAAAATGCTAACACGTTTTACCTTCCATGACCCAACCTGATGGCCTGCATGGAAAGATAGATTTGGGCATCAAGCATCAAAGCTTGGACATTGTCTTGCATGAAAGCTTGCAAAAGAAGAGGTTGAAATACAAGTTAATTCCTTGCTATATTTGATAGGTCCAGAGGCAAGCACAATTTTCAAGACCTTTGAACTGACTGAACAAAATAGAAAGGACTATGGAACAGTGCTACTAAAATTCAACAAATATTTCATACCTCAACATAACATAATTCATGTTTGTGCACAGTTTCATAAAAGGGACCAAAGAGTGGAAGAAACCATAGAGGAGTATATTAGAGCTCTCTATGAATTGTCAGAGGATACAAATTTTCCTAATGAGGAGGAATGCATTAGGGACAAGTTAATACTGGGCATTAAAGACAAAGAACTTTCTGAAAAGCTCCAACTCCTGTCTAATTTCATACTTAAGACAGCTATTGAACAGTAGAAGAGTACAGGCAGTGACATGCAGAGGTCTGGTGATGTTTGGTGATGCCCAGGGCCAACACCTTGGTTTTATGACCCTAAGACTCAAGGGGGGGATATAGGGCCTAGTATTGAGAAATGCGAGAAAGGAAGACATTTTTAAATATGTAAAAACAAATGAAACATGAAATAAACACTTTATTCAAATTAAATATAAACTAAATTTTTATTTCATTCTTTGATTGGATGCCCTCCCAATATGGATGCCAGGGGCCATCCCACCTTCTGCACCCACTCCTTCTACATGCTACTATAATCTATAGTAACATTAAAAAAAATATATCAAGGTTGCTGAGCAATTCCAGCAGATCCTTGTGGCATACTCTGTTTGTGGCACCTTGCATTATTAGAAATATTCATAGAAATATGATTTAATTTTTTCTTACTCGGTTACTAAACAGGTTGTTGATTTTTTTTTTTAAACGGAAAATAACTGAGTTGGAAATAATTCACTAAGATTGTACTAGACGATCTTAAGGGAAGAAGAAGGAAAGAAAAGAAAAAAAAAAGAAAAGAAAGAAGAAGAGAGAAAAAGAGTTGTATGATGCATGACCCAATTGAGGGTGGAGATAGGAGTCAGAAAGAGATTTAGGTCAGCGTCTTGGCCGATTTTCGAAAGACAATTGGAAGAATAGAATTATAAATAATAAGAAGAAAGAAAGGGAAAAAGACATGATATCAAAACGGGCCGCTTGATGGAAGCCAGATATCGGTCAAAGCACCTAGCCTACTTTTGCATGGAAAGACACCTTATCAATTTGGATAAAGAGAAATTTTGGGAACAATGAAACAATCTTAATCAGAGAAAAGTGTCTTTGGGTTGAGGGGAGGACCGGTGGAACGATATACAGATCCTGACCTGTTAAGAATTGGACACCCACGTTAATAAAGTGGAGACATTTTCAAAGTAGATAATTAAGATTTTCGACTATCAGGAAAAACAAAGAGGTAAAAAGAGGGACAGTTGCTTTTGGCTCACGGAGGGCGCCAAGAAGGCGGAAAAGATCCTTTCTAAAGTCAAGACTAATTAGCGGCGGGCTGTTTGACAAAGTCCAGGTGAGAGAAGGCCAAGATGGTCATTTTTCGTACGTGCGAAAAAAAAGGAAAAATTAGATTTTGTTTTTTTAGAACAAGAACGATATAAGCCCGCCCCGATTGATTGCAGGAAACGCCCAATCAGGATCTCATTAGCCGAAAACGGTCACGTGGCTGCAGAAAAGAAAAGAAAGAAATGCTCGATCAGAATCTCATTAGTCGAAAGCGGTCACCTGACATACGAGAGACCGAGAGAGATGGATATGCGCCTCCCCACCAAAGGCACTATGAGGAAGTAGGGGTGAAAACAATAGCGATAATGGAGAAGACAGAATTAATGCAGCTTTTGGAATTATCGAGAAAACCCTGACGCCGACAGACCCACCCCAGTTTGTTGCGGCGTCAATATAAGCAGGACCCCAGTCGACAGAAATCAGTTGAGTTGGAGTTGCAGTTGGAGTTGAGAGTTGGACCGCGGGCAGGGATAGAGCCTGAACGCGGCCATCAGGCCCGATTCACTCGCCCCTTTGCGGGCAGAAGAATCCTCAGACAAGAAATCCTTCCAGCCCAAGTCGAAGACAGGAAAACTTCCAGCCCAAGTAGACGAAGAAGAAGATTGCCTGAAAGCCTGAGAAGAATTGGAGATGCAGACAAGCCGAAAAGTCGGTGAGAAGTTAAAGTTCAGCCCCGACGGCAGTGAGAAGAGACCACCTCAGACGACAGAGAGTTGCGGCTAAGTTGAAACAAGAAATCTTCCACCAAGTTGAAACAGGAAAACTACCAGCCCAAGCAGACGAAGAAGAAGAAATACAACTCAAGTCGGAGAGAAGAATCAACTGCGAATGATCGATAGAAATTAGCCCCAGTGTCGAACTGAACCACACTCCGACATACATACATGATTCTAGAAAGTAGGTAATTCGACATTTTCTATTGTGTGATAGAAGCTTGGTGCCATAGTCCACAGAGCGGGTCGGGAATTGAGAACAATTTTGTTCTTTATGTAACGGACATTAAGATATAAAGGTTGTTACCCTTTTATCAGCAATTTTGTTTAGTGTCGTGAGTTTTTGTTTTATTTGTGTTTTGCCACCCCGTCCGGACTCGACTTGTATCGCCCAAATCCCTGCTGGTCCCGTCTGTCTAAGATCTAAACACAGCGTGGGTAGACAGACCGGAGATCGGTATAGTTGCTTTAGTGACCAGGTATTGGAAGCGAGTCGGGAAAGGCGAGGCTGGTGATCATCTGACCAAAGGGTTGAGCGCACGCTTGGACCCAGGAGGAGCGACCAGGAGGAGCGACGTCACCGCTGGCGCCGTAACCAAAGGGTCCGACACTGGGCCAGGTGTGTAACCGTCACAAGTGGTGCCGTGACCAGGATCAACCCTGAGACAACCACGTCACAAGTGGTGCCGTGGTGACCGAGGATTTCAACCCTGAGAAGACCACGATCGACCGCCGTTGCTGAAAATTCAGACAGAACTCAGAACGACCGGGACCAAAGGAAAAGAAAGAACAGAATCGTCTGTAAGGTAGGACACCTTGTTTTGTTTCCCAACCTCGATTGTTGCTGTATAGACTGTCTTTCTCTGTAGACATGTCAGATTATGATTCGGATAGAGCAGTGGGGGGTGAAGAAGAAGTAGGGCGGGGGTTGTCAGTGGATCTAAGGAAGCTGTTGGGTGGACCGAGGGTCCCAGTATTTGATGGCAGCGGGAAGGAGTTTAAGAACTGGCTGGCAATCCTCGAGAAGAGCCGAACCATCTACGAGCTCTCGGACCAAGAAACCCTGTATTTGGCATACGATGCCACAAAGGGAAAAGCGTCTGAGTTCGTAAGGGGGCTCGTGGAGAACCAACCCCGCTTGGCTTGGGAAGAAATAAAAAAACTGCTGACCAAAAGAATTCGCCGACGAAGGTACGGCCATAGAGGCCATGAGGGCCCTTTTTAAACTGACACAGCTACGGGATGAAACCCCGGGAGAATTAGGGGGGCCGAAGCGGGGAAGTTATCGTCATTGGCATTCCCTGAAGTGGTCAGGGTTAATGCGGTTATGCAGGCTCAACTGGCGGACCTGTATGTAGAGGCGCTGAGCGACGAGCGTGTTCGTCACGACGTATGGAAAGAAGGACCGCTCGGAC